ATAACTATAGTGCATTTTATGAAGCACTTTATGTAGTTCTGAGAACAGAACTTTCTAGTTTTCATTCGCCGCCGACGTGTAGTACTCTATTTTGATTTCTTGTCTACAGCTTTGGTATATAGAACTGAAGTTGCGGTGGCCTTATGACACACATTCTGTGGTTAAGCTTATCTCGCGTATATGTAATGTAGTAAGTTTATTTTTTTCTTACTTGTACGTAAGGCAACGAGCTACTACAATAGTTATAGAAATAGTTATATATACAAAGAGATAGCGGCTGTTCCATCTTTGTTGCTGATCATAGTCCGAAAATAAACATTTAACAATTGATAGTAACAGATAAAATAAATCGAAGCCGAACTTTAAGCGTGTTGCTGAGTCAATATACCATATCTTCTACAAAATCGATTGATAATTCACAGACATTTCGATGGGTTGGGCTATGGGCTATATGTTCCTTGTCACAATCTGGACGATTATGTTTGGCAGAGGTCGTTGAACCTGTTGCCGAATTGCTCATTTTTTTGCTGGCTTTTGGCCACAGTTTTGTAAGTTTCCATAAATTATCAGAATGAACAAATATGTGGTTTCTGCATTTCATAGTTTTCTAGGACGCAAGCGAATGAACTTTCGGCAACCATAATAACACCAGGGAAAAAGAACACATTACTATATTTGCTTCCAGCAGACAGACCAAAATATTTCAAAATATTTGCATGCTCCACATACGGAATCTATACGGATATATGGGGGTGGGAATTGATGGGGAATTCCATGCCAAATTTAGGTTTTTTTCTTTCGAGATGGTGCGATGCCTGGAAATGCCTGCAGAATTCTGTGTGCTTAAGTGCGGCCATATTCATTACAAACATCTGTCAAATAGGAATTTTCGCAGGAATTTGTATGCCCAAGAGTTCATGTCCCCTTCATATGAAAATGTTAGCAGATATTGTATCATTGCATAAATGCAAAGTTTGCTATAATTTATCTTTTTGGAAAGACGCCAATCTTTTATAACGCCTTTAAGGCTTTATAATACCGTGTAATAGCAAAAGATCAATGGATTTTATCTATTCATAATTCTTTTTATTTTATTTGTTATAATAAAAAATAATGATTAATGGAATGTTTTTTATTTACAATAAATATTTCCAAACTTTTTCAGTTGTTATCGATCTCGATCTATATTGTGTAGATTTCTTGTATCTTTCATTTACATATGTATGTACATTTTATTTAGCATCTCTTAGATAAAATTATTAGCGTGATCATTGAAATGCGGATCGATCATTACTAATATTATTCTAAGCTAATGCGTGAATTCTTCTAAATACTATATAGTATATGTCGTAATAACCCCTTATTAAATGATCATGGGTCTAGTAAATCCTATTTATAGGCTTTATAGGCATGTTCCCAATCGAATAAGGTAACGGTCGGCCAGAAAAGGAAGTCAAAAGTTCGGCGACTTTTCGACGACGAGCAATTAAGGCGGCATTTACATGAGCGATAGAAGCCGTAATCGTGGAAATTCACGCAATAATTGTCAAACAAAGAATTTCCCTCCCTCTTTCGCATTCTCCCTATCCCTATCATTCGCTTTTATGGCTCCAAAACTTTGACTGCATAAATAATAATTTCAGTTGGCTTGAAAAGAGAAATAGAAATGGGGGAGAAGTGGAAAAAGCCGTAGAAAGTATTGCCCATTGAATGTTGTTGTTTCCTCTATTTAGTTTCTTTTCTTTTTATGTTGTAATGTGCGTGGTGTGGGCAGCGCTGCCGGCTTCTCTGTCGACTGCGACCGCGACGCACGCTCCCGCATAACAGTCAACGAACGCTCCGCTCTCACGCACTCTCTCCCGCTCTCCCACTCTCACACTTTCTCACCCCCCCATTTGCTCTATCGCATAGTGCGTGTGTGTGCGTGCGTGCGAGTTGAATGACCGCCGAAAATAATTTTTTCCTCGATTTTAGACTTTTACTATGTTGACGCTGGCGATGATGATTGTGGATGTGCTATGCACGCATGTGTGTGCTTTGGCGCTTCGCGCACAGACACTCAGAAACGAACTACTCATGCACAGGGGCGTGTGTAGCGGGGCTTTCTGGGAGGGGGGTTACAGATATCTAAACTGGGCTTTGTAGGTTTAAATTTAAAGATTTAAATATATTTATTTTGAAGGTACTCTTTTTAAAAAATAAGGTGCCTTTGAGGAAAACTAAAAAAGAATCGAAAAAGCTTCACAGTTGCTGTGAGCAGAAACCCAGAACCCCCTTTCTACGCCCCTGGCCGCACGCACGCTCTCTCAGCCAGTCAGAAATTTTGTAGCTCCATAGTTTTGGGTCTTTCGTTTGTTTCGAGTGTTAAACGGGCGTTCGCACTATCTCGCAGGGGCGGTGGGAGGAAAGGTGCTGGGCGGGGTGGGGCGTGGGGGTTCGGGCTTGGGCCTGCATGGGTCGCTTTTTCCACACATTTCTTCTTTTTGTTTTATTTTGAAGGCATGTGTGCATGTGTGTGTGTGTGAGCGGACTACACAATCAGCTAAAGCAACAGCAGCATTTCACTTTAACAAAACTTTTCGGTCTGGCTTTTTTGAATATTTTTTATTGTTGCCACTGCGCCGTCTCGCTCACTCTGCAGCCAAGGGCCGATCTTGTCAACTCTTTCGCTTTTTAAATTTCGTTTTTGGCCGCTTTCTGTTTACGCCGCCAAATTTCTTTCTTTCACTTGCCTACGTTTCTATCTGTTTCACCAACGGCAAGGCGAAAAAAAAAAACCACCAGCGAAACGCAGTAGCAGTGGCGAAAAAGTGAAAATTTCAATAATAAAATCTGAGTCGGTTTTGCGGAAGTCGTAAAGGCAAATTGCATGCCAAAAGTAACGGTGACCAGCGTCAGAAAAGGCGATCCCCATTTCCACGCCCCTGCAGCTCCCTTAATTACTTACACGCAACTCGAAAATCCCGGGGATAGATTGCTGGCCGCGATTAAGATTTATGTTAGAAATAATATCCTCCATGTTCCCGACTCAGGCCCTAATTGCATTCGCAGCTGACCTGCAAAGGGGTCAAAGCACCCCAATTAAATTCGAATTAATTCAGCTCCGCCTGCTAAGCCTTAAGTCCTGCGAAGGATTTATTATAGATGAGCCAACTCCTTCAATGCCAACTTTTCCAACTTCTCTCAAGGTTTGCGTGTGAGTGGTGTATATTTATAAGCCCTAATACGTTCGAAAACTTGGACAGATAAAAATACATCCTGAATAAACGTCTTTGTTTAAGTAACTTAACTCGGAAATAAACTTATAAAGAGTGGTACTTATTCATTCTGGCGAAAGCTTTGATCCCAAACATGTTTTATATCATTCACTTTTTAAACCACCAAAGTTTCCCTTTTCGCCGAATAAAAAGTACAAATTTGTTCAATAAGTGTAAAGTGTAATAAAATAAGCTAATTAACTTTTACATATAAATATACGCAAACGTGCAATTCATACATCTCCGCTCACATAGTATAATATTTATATGGCTTGTCGCAACATTGTTGGTATTACAATATGTTTTTACGACTGACGAGCGAATTTTAATTCGCAAGTTTCTTTTCCATTTTATTTTATTATGATCGCCTGCTGTACGCTTTTTATGACACATGTGTTACATACACAATTTGTATCTTTGTATCTTTTTTATCTGCGGCAGCTGCGAAGAAAGGGTCTGCAGCCGTCTCTTTCCTGTTCTCCGATTGCCTTTCGATTGAATTAGTTGAATTGTCAATGCAAAAAAGCAGCAGCAGCAGGCCATTCGCACAAACAAACTCAAACACACGCAAGTGGGTTTCGTAATATTCGTTTGGCTGTCTTTCTTCATTTACGAATTTCATGGATTTCCCTTAAATAATTGTTGTTGCTGTTGGCCAAGAAACCCGAGTGACTTTCACTGCCAGGCCAACGAAAACGCAAAAAAAAAAAATAAATAACGAAAAATAACGAAAAAGAGCAGCCACTCATTTCGGGACCAACTGACTGACTGACTGACTCCGCTCTGCCACATAAAACCAGCAACTTAACTGGATTTCATTAAGTTTATACTTTATTTTTCTGCTTTGCGCAATTCCCTCGTTGATTTTTGCGGGATGAAAGTTCGCACTTGTCGCTTACTTAACTTGATGCCTTGAAACATATGCAAAATGCTCTACAACATCCTGAAGGAATCGCTTTTATGTACTTTCGGAGATGTTCCTTATATTATAGGGCAGGATTAACCGGTGTAGACTCATATTTTGATAGCTATAATCTAAAATTATACGGCTCAATTTACTACTTAGTTTACTTGTATTACAGTAATTTCCTATTAGATAAGCCTCCCCTTAGTTCTTAAAACCATTTTCGTTTGGTAGCAGGTCCTGTATAATTTTCGTAGCTCTTTTCAACTAAACTAAGGGGATTGAAACAGTAATGATGCTTTACCTTTAATGGAACCGCTGGAGTTGTTTTGTCCCGCCGGCGATTGGACGTTGCTTTGACCGAGGTTGTTTGCGTGTGCTTCCAGTTTCGAAGTGACGCTGCTCCACATGTCAAACATACGTTGCGTATACATAATTATTAGTGGGAAATGCGAAGCTTTGGTGACGTTTCAAACGTTTGCCGTTGCCGTTGCCGTTGCCGCTGCAGTTGATTGGTGAAATAGTTGTAGTTGTAGTTGCAGCTGTAGTTATGCACACTTGGTATCAGTTGATGCAACCGCTGATGAACACGGGCACTCACACCGACGGCCATACGCGGCGTATGCGCAATATACTGCTCTTTGCAGTTGAATGAATACGGTTTTCGCTTAGATCTTAGTTATCTTTTTTGTTTTGTAAATGTGTAAAACGTTGTATACAGTACTTTATATATAGATATATATATGTATATATATATATATATATACTTTTGTAGCTGCCCTTCGGTTCCAATTGTATTAGCCAATCGTCTTATTGCACTTGGTCTTTACTTATGTTTTGTGGCCTGGGTTTTTTTAGCTAGTCCGCAGATGGTTTCGTGAATGAATTTTCAGCGCTTTTCGCATTCAGTGTGAATCAAGAACTATCACAGTGTGTGTGGGTGTTTGTGAGACGGGGGCGGAGGGGGGCGGTGTGAGGGGGCTTGCCAATCGATATATATGTATATATATATTTGTTTTGTATGTATATTGCTATATATCTATATGTATGTATATAATGATCTAACGTTGTCAGGCCTGTAGGTACTAAATTGTTGATGTTGTTTGGATCTGATGTTATATGTGGTTGCTGCCGCTTAATTATTGGGGTTTCCTTATTAATTCGTTTATCAAACTATTTGTTAATAAGACACTTGTTCGCGTATGTATTAAACTTGCTTAGTTATCTATCGCTATCGTTTATTTAAAGCAATTTTCTATGATTTGATAATATCTATTTAAATCGAACTTCCAGCTTTAGCCCTTTTGCAGTAAGTGCAGATTGTTGCTGTTGCTGCTGCTATTGTTATTGCTATTGAAGTTTTTGTTTTTGGTTGCTTTGGGCAGTTGTTGTTGCTGTAGCTTTTGTTGTTGCTGCTGCTTTATCACTTTCACTGCGTTGTTGTTGTCGCTGTTGTTGCTGCTGCTGCTGCTACGGTTGCTGTGATTTTTATTGTGCTGCTTGTTGGTGTTGTTGTTGCCGCTGCTGCTGTTGGTTTCCTTGTTGTTGTTACTGTTGTTGTTGTTGTTGCTGCTGCTGCTATGCTCATTGTTTTGTCGATTTCTCTGTTTTGCTTGATTCCAAATCAAAATTTCCAAAAATACGAAAATTTCACGACAATTAATTCCGGAAGACATTTAGGCGCAATCTGTTTCTCATCGATTCGAACTGTCGCTGCCGTGGAAACGTTCATCGGTTTGTTTTCAGTGTATGTTTTATTCAAACCCCCAGCTTGAACACTTTGATGTACAAAATGGTTTGGCCAGTTATGTAAATACTTTTGCTACGCACTGTCAGCCATGGCCAAATCATGGCATTCAGCATATTGCACGGGAATGATGTCTGCAAGATGGGAAATCGATAAGCAAATCGCCAAGATCGTCGATATTCCGATAACGAAGATCTTTCGGTAAGTGCCCAAGTGTGTGTGTGTGTGTCGACATAGATTTTATTTCAAATGATTTATTTCCTACATTTAAGTTCTATTACGTTCAGAAAGAAGAATAGCACAAAATCCATCAGCAATTTTATCTTCGATATTTTCCCTTGTCGCAACATAAAGTGAAATTTTCGAAGTTCCAGCATGTCTATACAATAAAGTTAACTATTTTCAATTTATGGGTGTGGAATTCCTAATTAGTAGCTGACAGCTATCAATGTTTTATTATGTAAAAAGTTTCTTCATGAAGGAAAGTGGGTATTCCATGCTTTTCGGAACTAAAGAGTTACATATATATACGTAAATAGTTAAAATCCTTTTTCTCAGAACCCGAGACAAAATCATACGAACTCAGAAAATGATATAGGGTCTCATATAATGCGGTGTCCATCGGTAATCGATGTTTTCCGCTGTGCAGGCATCGCAATTCAGGAACTGTGCCGAACCCCGAGCTCTCCCTTTTTTCGGTTGGCAACTCCCTTCGACGGCTGATGTCTGTGTGGACATGAGCATGGAAAATCGATAGAGAAATGGGATTTAAGGGTGCCCAGACAGACGATGGGTGCTGCCGGGGGAGGCGGGGGTCTCTAATGGGGAAAAACTGTGAAATGCAGCGCATAAATCTCGTCGCCAAGCATAGTGGGTGTGTGTTGGTGTGTTAGTGTGGGTAAACATAGAAAAAAGTTCTATGACCCAAAGCTCAAACACACGCACACACACACACACTCACAGTGGAACAGAGGAAAAGCGGACGACAAACGAGCCGGCAAACCCAATGAATATAAAAACATTTTTACTTTTCCCTCACTCTTTTTTGAAGGGGGTTGGGGAGGTGGTAGGGGGGGGGGGGACTTTGGGGGAGTGTAATCACATTGCTGGTGGTTTGGGGGTGGCTTTGGGTGGCCATGCGGAAGCCTCTGGCAGACATATAAAATACGTCACCAAAGCGACAGCAACAACACTGAAATTGTGCCAGCTCAGAAGCAGAGCGAGATGGAGCGCGAAGGGACAGAGAAGGACAGAGCGAGAGAGAGAGAGAGAGAGTGACGGAAATTTACATATAGACAAAACGCAAAGAAAACGCTGAAAAGAAAATGAAAATGAATAGCCGCACAGTGGAAATGAAAAATTCTCTCGCAGCGACAACGAACTTACTAACGGTACTAAAGCTAACGAGCCGGTCAAACCGATGATGAAGCAGCGCGAAAGAGAAAGAAGGAGAGAGCGTAGAGATGTTCCGGCGGATGGGGAGGGAGGTGGGGGGCAGAAGCCGAAGGCGGTTACAGTTACAACAGCAACAGAGCGACAGCAAAGCAGACGACAAAGTTTACAAGGCAGCGCTGCCGGCGTCGCAGTTGCAGCACTGCTTGTACTGTTGCTGTTGCTGTTGCTGTGTTGTTGTTGCTGCTGCCGTCGCAGTACGTTGACGCCGACGAAAAAGACCAATGACCTATGGGTGGGCCATGCCGCTGCCCCCACTTTTCCGCCTGGGACTTCTGCTTAGGCTGTTTTCCGCCTCTACACGGCAAGAATATCTGCCTTAATCAGCAATTTGGTAATCCCGTTACTTGCCACCACCCTATCTTTAAGATGCATTTCCTTTTAAGTCATTGATAATAATGTAATAATAATGAAAATCTAAGGTAGTCAATTAGTTCTAACATTTGCCCTAAATTTGAACTGCGTTTACTACAATTAGACCTAATCAATTGATATGAAATCAAAAAATTGTATCTAATGTGAACTAATTTGAATGGCTTATTATTTAAACAAACAAGAAGTGTGGTGTCAATTTCACGCAAAACAACATTTTCAAAATTCACTCGAACTCAGAGCGAAGGCAGCGGAACAACTTTTCTCTGCGTGTAACAGAAGTTGTTGTTGTTGCTGGGGTGGCACACTTATGGGGCGACACATGCAGTGAGCGTGTGTGAGTGTGTGTGTGCTTAGCAATGTTGTTCCACTAACGGTAATGCAAACAGTCGACTAAACAGGCGGAGGAGCAGGAGGAGCAGCAGAACCGGGGAAACAGGAGAAACAGGAGGCGCAGAGTGGGTGGTGCTGGCGACGACCGACTTTGCTGTGCTGTGAACTCGCCTGAACTGGAAAGTCGGTGCAAGTAGTCGTACTGCCGTCTCTAAACTGCTTCTAACGACAACAATAACAATTGTTGATAATCATAAGTTGCCACAATGGACACAGACAGAAAACTGCAGCGGCAACAAAGGGCCACAAGCTGTGGACAAGAAAAGGGCATATCATCTCGGCTTTGTGCCCGGAGATTCGGTCTCCAAAGATCTCCGCCGAGGATGGAGCAGAACGGCAAAGACAATGGACCCAAAAGATTTGCCCGGGTAACAGATACTCGGAGTGTAGCCCTATGAAAAATTGCGAAAGCCTTTCAGCTGACAGTTGCTCCAAAATGGGGCCGTTAATTGGGGAAGGAAGCTGAATAATCGATGCTAGGACTAGGAAACCCTATTTCAAGAATTTGAACCTTTAAAAGCACTAAAGATGATTAAGTGAGTCTTGAAACTTCTTGTTGTTCTTATTCCTAAATAGCTTTAAACAAATCTAAAGCTTGTATGATTGAACAATTTGTTATGTCGGATTAATATTTAATTGTGTTTAAGGGAAGGAAGGAAATGGTTTTCAAAGTATCAAAACTTCAAAAAAAAAAATCATTGATCGCTAGACTTTCAGCAAGTAACATTTTGAAACAACGTGGTTATTACTAGATATGAAATGTGGAGCTTGTAGCTCCGTGAGTTGAAACAAAAATATCGAAACATTCAATTAAATTTCATCGCCTTGCAGTTACTTATTGCAGTTTTAGACACGTGTACTTAATAAACCCCCAAATGCTAACAAATACATTTAGAAGCGAACGAGCCTAAACGATGCCATAAATTTCCTTTCCCAATCATCAGATCCCCGATCGTGTGATATATCCGAAAACTGGTGGTTAGCCATCCAATTAGAGGCAAATAGATTATTCCAATAAATTATCCAATTTGCGGGCGGCGAAGGCGGCTTGCGCCGTGTTGCGATGAGGGATTTCCTCGATGGGTTTTTGAATTTTTCGTTTTGGTTAATAATTTTTATATATCCTTGCGGTACACACACACACACTCTTTCGGCACGTTGCTCTTACACATACACGGAGATTGGCTTTGTTTTTGTTGCACAAATTGGGGGGGAGGCTGTGGGGGGATTCTCCCGGGATTTTTCGGGAGTATTACGTCACTGGCACTTCCGTTTCCGTTTTTTACTCGCGGAGAGAGGGCGCGCAATTGCAGTTGCAGTTGTAGGCACGATGTGGAATTTGAATGCACACGATATTGATTGATTGACTGGTACTGTATATAGCGATATATGTTGTAGGCGTATCCTATGATTTTGTTGTGATCTGAAACCGAACAAACTTCATCTGCCGCCGCATGTTGCAAGGCCGTAATTTATCATTTCTTTACTATTATTTTTTTTCAACACACTGGCACACACTCGCGCTTCGCAGTTTTGCCTTTTGAGTAATTCTTTGCTTTTTTGGGGGCTTTTTTTTCCCGGCAGAGTGGGGGTGGTGAGGCGTTTTGGGGGATTTGGGGGGCAAAACGCATAGGCACACGCACACACACACACGCACGGCGCACACACACGAGCGATGGGAAATGAAAACGGTACAGAGTATAAACAACAACAACAAATAATTAATAATAAAGATACAACGCGCCACGCATCGTAACCCGCCGCCGCGAAACGCTCAATACGAGGTGTAGCTGAAGAGTGCCGCAAAATGTTATCGACTGTTCGTTGTCGTCGTGCCGCGGCAGCGACGCCGGCGGCGCAGCAGCAGCGCCGCAATGCGGCAGCAGAGCTCGTGCTCCCCAAAAGAAAAGAGAGGGAGACAGCGAAAGAGCGCGAGAGAGAGAAGTGGGTATATGTGTCTCTGTGCCGATGACTTCTTCAGTTCGCTGCCCCAAGCCGCCTCCCCGCTGCCGCCATCACACCCACTTTTGCCTCGTCCGCTTTGTGCCGTTCATTCGCTATGGCAACCGCTCGGCGATGAAAAGAGTCATAATCAGCTGTTATCTCTGCTCTCTCGCTCGCTCTCTCTCTCTTTTGTTTTACAACTGGGGGGCTTAAGAGCGGGAGCTTTTGGCGCTTCCTTCGATTAGCAGGTCAATTGCTTTTTAGGCCAAAATGTGTGCACTGCAGTTGCGAGCAACTTAATTGCACCCCTTACTTCTCCACCGACGACTGGCCAAATTGTTTTCAATCCTTTTTTCGGGGCGGAAGTGGCAATTGGCCCTAAAGTATACCGCTTGAATCCTGCCAACCAGCTTCGAATGATTGAAATGACTTTGGGACTCTTAACTTGCGCTGATAGTATTATTTTATCAACTATGATTAGGTAGACTTATACATACGTTTGATATTATTAAATTTATGTTCATTGAGAAATATGTGATGAATATTTGTATAGATCGGATCCTTTCCAACAATGTTTTCATGAATAGGTGCGCCATAAGGTAGGCAAGAGCTTTTGCTTCAGGGCAGTGGTTAGAGGGTATCATATAGTCGAATTCTTTATTACTCATTTTAATATTTCTGGGCTAGATTGCGAGCAGATTTCAGAGAATATTTCATAATTTTTTAACCTGTTGCGTTGCAAGGCGAGTTATTATTAAAAATGTGATAACGACGTACGTAGTTAATGTTACATTTTGCAGTAATGCATATATTTATTTGGAGTAGTGTATCCACCATTGGGTTCCTTTACTCAAATGCAAATCTTTTTACTCTGCGAATGCATTTCATTATAAATGCATCAAAAATTACCAGCTTTATAAACAAAGTAAAGCTTGATGGTAATTTTAAATCAAATATTGCACGCGGTATCTCAGTTCTTAGACAATGAAGCCACAATAAACTGGGTTAAGTCCCAGAGTGTTGAATTTTTTATGAATATATTTTTATTAGTTTTATAAATATTCAACCATTACGTCTGGCACATAAAAATTTAGAAATCAAAAAATAAAAAAAAATCACCGAACAGTCAAGGTGAACTGCACACGGAGTTTGCTGGCAAATTAAAAATGTTAAAATTAGTTTAAGTCATTTGGCAACTTGCTTTCGAAGTTTGCCAAAATGAAAAGCGAACCCAAATATCAAAATAAAAAAAATAGATTTCCATGTAAATGTTGAAAACGAAAAAGAAACCAACTTCGCTCAAGTTATAAATTAATATTTCGTTTACGATAATTTATGTATTTTCGTTGACGTCGAATACTTAAACCATTAGCTTTGCATCTCGCAGATACAAAGATACATACAGATGTACATGTGTGCGGCGCATAATTGGAATTTCGCATAGACGGGAAAGAGATGAGCTGGTTATGAAATCGTCGGGCAATATCGATGAAGTTTGGCAAAATCGAAAATATGATAATGAAACTTTGCCACGCTCGATTGGAGACGAAATCCCATGCGGCGCTGACCTGGCTAATAGCCACGGATCCAGGTCTAGACGACCGGGTCGGCCAATAAGCCGAAGATTCATGCATGAAATGCAAAGCGTTGTCCAACCAAATTATAATGAACCTGGCTTCGATATGGGAAATTACAACAACACACACACAACCAATATGCCCCATCGCAAAAGTGATAGTGCGAAGATATACATATATCTCGTAATCCGCCGATTGCAACATCTCCGTCGACGGCGACAACGCGCCGAACTGCCAAAGTCCATCGACCACGTTCAGGGTCGCCTCATCTGCAGAAAGGTTCGGATGAAGAAAACCTTTATGTTTTAACTTTACATCTTTTTTGCCAACTACCATTATGTGGGCTAATGTCAAATCCGCTTGTGTTAGGGGCCTTTAAACGGGTTTTAGAAACCATTTGAAATCATTGGAAAATTTCACGTGACGGGTACTTTACCAATCGACAATTTGAAAATTCCCTTGAAATTTACAATAATGTGTGTTTTGCGTATATCCGCCATTTAAATATGTATAACTCATCTTCAGTAGGATTTGTAGTAAAAAACTGATAATATATTATTTTTCTAGACAAACTATTATATTAGTTATTGTCTCATTTTTGACCAATGTCTACTATTGGTAATAACAAATTCCCTATCTAAAAATCATCAAAAAATAGATTGTAAGCACTATAAAAAGTACAGGCAAACAAGGCAAACCCTGTTTCACCTCTGGCCAAATGAAACTGTCAAAGAACGTTCATCAGATCTGGAGATCGATCAGCCAGCTTCTGGAATTGGGAAAGCAGTAAATCTGAGAAACAAATCGATTGATCTGTTCCATGAACGTCATGCCTGTTCTTAGTGGGCACAGCAATTAGGTAACGATTCATCGCCTCGATCATCAATCATTGGTACCAGAAAATCCGACATTTTGGCCACCGCCCCAGCCCGCTAATGAGCCATGCAAGTGGATACGGCGGCCCCCAGCGCCAAGAAATCAACAGAAACTATAAAATATAGATCAATCTTGGCCGAAACTGTAGGGCTTCAGCATGAGAAGTCGTGTCAGTGGCTGACACTCATTTGTAGTCATCAAGTGAATCGAGTCGAGGGAGCAGACTCAACTCGCTGGCCCGAGGCGCTGCCAAATCAATTTTTCAGCTTAGCCGCCCCGCGCCCTAAGCCCGTTCGCTGCTTGCCTGCTTACACTGGAAGAAACATTACTTCACATTGTAATTAGATGTTCTAAAAACCTTGTGTTGCAGATAGGTTCATTTTAGGACCAACAAATTTGACACTTTAATGGCTATTTCCAGACCGACTCCCACTTCAGCCCTTTTCTGCCAGTGTAAAAACGTTCATTCTGTTCTAGCCCAGCTTGAGTTTCGCTCTCAGTCCGCTCGCGCCTCCATTGAGGTAACTGTATAGTTTGTAGTTGACGTTTTTACCGCTAAGGTTCGTGATACGGTAAAAAAAAAATGTGAGGGGCCGAGCAGAAGAACGGTGGTGGTGTTGCTGCTGTGCCGCAACAGCAGTAAAGCGAATATGCCGGGGCAGGGAGAATCGCAAAAACAGCTAACAGAACCTAATGATAAAGAACGCCATCTAGACTTGGCCAAAAGCTAGTCAGCCTAGCAGCGGCTTATTTAGTATGTCAAAACATGTTTTTGTTGCTGCTTGTATCTGTATCTGTGTGTGTTGGTGTTGCCGCTGTTTGTTGACTATGGAAAGTGGGCCACATGCCCGTAGCTGTTGGTGTTGCTGCTTTGCTGCGGCTGCTGCTGCTGCTGCTGCTGCTGCGGCTGCTGCAGCCACACAAAGGTGAATAGCCAATAAATCGAGGCTTGTAAATTGAAATTCTTTTTAGCATGGGGTGTGTACACCGTACAGTATACACAGTACACCTGTTGTTGCACTTGCTGGTGTTGCTAGTGTTGCTGCTGCTGCTGCAGATGTGTTGCTGATGTGTCAGCCTGTTAATTGCCGCTGCCTGGGATGCTTGCGCAATGAGCGAGCGTTCATTTGCATAGCTCGGATTCTGAGGGGGGTGGGGGCACTGGGGGATATGGGTGCGATTATCCGAACAGCGCTGATCGTTGGTGGTCGCTCTGGGCGAGTGCTCACTGTGGTTAGCCGGCGGTGGTTCGCCTGCACTCGCAGCAAGTGCAATTCTCGCCGAGTTTTCTGGGGTGCGAACCCATCATTCGCGGAATCCTTGACTTAAGGTCTTTCAAATATTTGCTACAATCACGACGGCTTATTGTAATTATTTAACGTTGGTGGCATAAAATAAACGCCAGTAACCGGCAAGAGTTTAGCAAAACTTGGCTACTGCATATGACGTTAGATATATTGGCGGAACATACATTAATATCCCTAGAGTGACTTAACTATAGTTGAGTGGCAACGTACCTGTCATGGCTCCATTGCTGCCACTGCTGCTGTGTTCCCTGCTGTTGTCTCTGGCCGATGTTGCACTCGCAGTTGCTGCTGCTGCTGCCGAAGCCGCAGATGCCGCAGACGCTGCAGATGCGGATGCGGATGCTGATGTTGCTGTTGATGTGGCAGCGGGCCTCTGAGGCGTGAGCGGTGGCATCGGCGGAGGAGTTCGCTCCTTTGTGCGCTTCAGGGTGCCCTCCTGGCTGGTGTTGCTGGCCATGTTCTTGCACACAGAACTGATGTTGCTGATGCTGCTGAAGCTGCTGAGACTGCTGAAGCTGCTGGAGCGCGCCAATGCCGGTGGATCCGATAGGAATTTCACTTGCTGCTGCTGTTGCTGTTGCTGCTGCTGTGGTGGCCGCGACTGTGCCGGCCTGGTGGTGGCCAATCTCTTGGGCGCCGGAGGCTCCGGTTCAGTCTCATCCTCGGGCTCGCCATCCGCCTCCATCTCGCCATCGAGATCGTTTTCCAAGTCCGGCTGCACGGTGGCTATGATGGTGCCCTCCTCGTTGGCCTGCTCGAAGCAGACGTCCAGCAAGGTGGCTCCGCCGCCCGCCTGTAGGCCGGCAATATCCTTGAGATCTATCCAACTGGCACCCAGCTTATCCGCATCACTGAGGGGCAGGCTCAGCACCCTCGTGTCGCCCTCCTCCACGATGTGGAAGGACTGCGTGGGCTCGATCTTGACGATGATGGGCTGATTGGCCAGAATTTGGGCGGGTGGCGCGCTGCCCAGCAAACTGGCCATGTTCTCCTCCTCCTCGTCGGCGGCCTCCAGTTCGCTGAGTTGCTGCTCGATCTGCAGGTAGGTGCTGCTGCTGGAGCTCGCTGCCACTCCCGACTGCTGCTTCAGCACGTCCAGCTTGAGGACCGTGCACTTGTCGGTCTGCTGATACTGGTGCTGCTGCTGGGGGCGTGGCAGTAGGGTGAGGGCGGGAGCACCCGATGAGCCAGAAGCTTCCGCAATGAAGGCCAATGGGGGGGAGGTGCCCGTGGACTTGGTGGACACACTGCGCGACGACTGGATCAGCTGGGGCAGGGCTGCTGGTGCACCACCACTGCCGCCAGCACCGGAGGCAATGCCACCACTTCGTGCCACAATGGTGGTGGAGACGGGCAGCGGAATTATCGAGATGGAGGGCACCTTGCTGCGCAGATTGGCCACCGCCGCTGCCGTGGCGGCATCGGTGCCGATGTACGTTGGACCGCCGCTCGAGGACTTGCTGCCGCCGGCGGGCTTGGCCTGCTGTATCAGCAGGAGATCTCTGGGCCTATCCGTTGTGGCGGCCGTTTACTCACAAAGGCTCTCAAATGTCCGGGGTTTCGCCTCCGCTTAAAACACTAAACACTCACACTTTCACTTGGTTCATTGCTTTGGTTTCCTCTGTTATGCTTGTATTTGTTACTTCTTATATTTGGTTTTTGTTTTTTGGGTGTAGAAGCACAACATCGAAATAAATTGAAAATCAGCCTTACGAAAGTGCACTTAAAAAATTGTCGACTAAACAAGTTCATTCATACTGCATTGCCTCGATTGCTTGTCAATTGGTGTAGATACCCCCAGAAGGGGTGGCCCAATGGGGTTGGGGGTTTTCGAATGGGGGCTTATTGGGGACGTAGTGGGGTCTGCAGATGCACCTGTGCGTTTCGTTTCGTTTCGTACCGTTCGGTTCGTTTTTGGTTCGTTTTGCAGCTGGAAATACGCGTCGTATACTTAACGTAACTTTGTGCGATGCATAGAGCTTGACTTTCCGATTAATGCTTTCCACTTGTGTTGATTTTTGAGTACATTTGGGCTAGTCTTTTCGGTTTATGGTTATGTTTAACTTTAATTCTCTGGCTAATATGCAGCAATTGTTGCTGTGCATCGCTGACTGCGCCTGCTTCTGTATCTGTGTCCTCCGCATTTGGCTGTGCTCGTTGTCATCCTCGTTTTCGTGTCCTGCTGCTGCTGCTGCTGTTGTTGCTGCTGTTGTTGCTGCTGTTGCTGCTGCTGTTGCTGCTGCTGCTGCTGATGATGTTGCTGCTGATGTTGCTGTTGCTGGTGCTGCTGCTGCTGCACATGCAACGCGTCGCCGCTGGATGGCTGCAAGGCTGCGCTGCAGCATTCGGTTGGGCCAGCGCCATTGGAACCCGACCACGTCAAAACAGTTGGAAGTGTGCCTCTGGATCTGGATGTGGATGTGGATGTGGATGTGGCAATGTTGCTGTTGATTTCCCACATCGCGGCACGCAACCCTATGCAACCACCACCTCGGCCACCACCTCCATCCTCGCAGCAACAACAACCACCAGCTGTGTGGAAAGTGGCTTTAATAATCGATTTTTCAGCGGCACACTTGCGAATCAATATTTGGCAAACAGGAGCAACGCTGCAGCTTTCCCTTTCCCGTATCGGATTTCTATCCCTTGGGTTCTACATTAATGCAGCACTGTTTTCAGTGTATTTCACGTTTGCTTGGGTTTTTGGGTTCACTGTTTCAATATTTATAATTTCACTTTCGGATGATTTGTGGCTAAATGCACCGCGCGCGTTTTTTTGTTTTTTGTGACTCCTTTCTGTCGATTTTGAGAAGCAGCTGACCGGAGCTGCGTCCTTTACAGGAATGTGTCCCAAATTCGAGTGCCACAAACACAGTTCGTTCTGCCGCTGCACAAACTTTCCGTTTCGTGGGGGTTGCGCCTCAGTTTCTGGGAAAAGGAAAAACCGAGTGTGTGTGTGTTGGTGTGTGCGTGTGTATCCGCATGCAAGTTGAAAAATGGGACTCGCTGCGAACTGCTGCGAAAATAGGGTTAGTAGGCATAATGCCAAGTGCATAGCCAGGAAAAACTGGAAGCCACAACACGAAGGAAAACGAGCACAGTCGAGCGTTTGTTGCGCAGCTTTTCCACCCTTAAAATCTCAGCGGGGCACGGGGACTGAGGGCCAGGAAAATTCCCGTCGTGGTGGGAAAGCGTCACGGGAAATTTCTGCACGCTCGAGGTGGAAATTCCAAGGGCGCGAAATTTTGAATGAGCCTTGTGAGTTTGACTTTCGGCATTTAACCAACTAACAACTGCAACTGGCTTTTATAAAAGTTGTATAAATTCAAAGAGCAATTTATTGTTCAGTAGAACTATAACTAAGGTATGTTTATATTTTATTATCATTTGGTATATACTATACGAAAGTAATAGCTTGAAAACTATAAAATTAGGAGCTTAAAAAGGTAAGACTTAGATTGCTTAGACTATTTTTTGTGCATTAAATATATAATCTTTTACAAATCATATATGTGAAGCACAAAAATACTATTTTCATATTCATGATTTGTTTACCACATACGAAAGATGTGGTGGTGGTAAATAACAATTACGTTTGGGCAGTATTTAAGAAACCATACAAGTTTATTAAATAGTAAATTTAATAGTATATTTAAATGAGCCATTAAATGTGCATTTGCCACTTAAATTTACAAGAATGTGCAAAACAGTTAGGTTCGGTAATTAAAGACCCCGATGCCCATTTCGGCAAAAACCAATCCAAGAACTGCTATGACCACAATGACCCCAAAGTGACTGCCCAAAAAAAGGGCGAACAGAGAACATCTCGGGCATTGGCCAACAGCCAGGGCAAATTTGGACTAATCGCCTAACTGGGCCCCAGCCTAACCGATCGGATCGGGCCATCATTAGGCGGGGGGAGGAATTGGGAGGTGTAGGGCCAAACTTCTTATAGCGGAGGGCCAATGATGGCGAAGGAAGCGACCACCGTTACGGCGGATTCGGATTTGGATTCCGATTCTGATTCGGAGCCAAAGACTCAAGCATCGGCATTAATATTTCATGTTTTTCCGTTGCTTAAATCATGTTAGATTTATTCTGCGCCGCTTTCAGCTGCCGCTTGCGCAACAACAATCAACAGCTAACAGCTAACTGGTAACTGGTAACTGGTTAGTGGTTCTGGCAGCCAGCTTACCAGCAACTTGCAGCTAAACTTGGCTAAAACACCGTTGGTTCTAACGTGAACGCGAAAATGTGTGCCTCACCGTTGTAAACTTCTTGCGGCGGCTGTTGCCTCATCTATTGCAAGTCTGTGCCGCTGCCGATGCCGATGCCGATTCTAACCTGTTTTCTCTGCTGAAACTCTCCGAAAAAGTCCCGTAAGAAAGTCCCAGTTATTCAAGAGGAAAAACCTGTTACACGCAACTGGCTCAGAGAGCTGATTGCCAAGAAAATGGAGATGGAGAAAAGAAAAGAACCAAAAAGAAGTCGGCACATAGCCACAATAGCAGCAGAAACAGCAAACACGTTAGTACCGTTGCCTCGGATTCTTTGTTGCGCAACTGTGTTGCAAGATTAGCTGCGACTTCCAACTGGTTTATTGCAGCCCCACTGTCGATGAGGCAACAGTTGGCCTGGCCATTACTGTTGTTCTGCCTTGAAGATGTGGTAAAATCTTTTGGCTAGAATCGGAAATCCAACGGCGAGACTGGCGGAGGTGCTGCATTGCATGTCTTGCAGCTTGACTGCATATCGCATCCATTTGTTTGCGGCTATTGAAAGCCGTTGCCTTTTATAATCAATTAGGTTTTTTTTTAACTTAACGCCAGCCTAATGAGTCCAATAGTCGGTTTTAGCCAGGCAAGGCTGATTTCTGGTGCGAAATATCACCAGAACTATTTTGATTAGAGGAGAAACTCGTTTCAAAATTGCGTAATTCAAAAGACCTTTAACAAATCTATCACAATGCCTTTAAACCACGTATATTTGAAATTGATTATAGGAAGTATTTTCCATTCATTTTTGGTTCTGAAGGGACCTATTCGAGTTAAGTAATATAATATACATATATACCAAATTTCTTATTGATTCCACTTGTTTTATTTATATTAGCAAGCTTTGCATTGCTGTCTATTGTATTCTTTGGCTTTCGCAATTGATTCTCAAAATTAATTATTTAATTTAAAAATCAATTATAAATAAAATAAAACATATAATCGATTTACGGTAAGAACTTTAATATAACCAGTAATATTTTAGGGATATCATAGCTACCCGGGGTCTTATGCCTAGTATGTCCTATTCACACTAACCTCTGATGGTGCTGGGCATGTTATCCGGGTTTTGCGATCTCATCAATGGACGTGGACTTTCATTCAGACACTCAATCGGATCAGATCAGTGTCAAGGCTTTGAACTCATCTTCCGGCCAAGAGACCATAATGGCAAGCGTAAATCTGGCGAATTAGCTCGAGCCGCAGTGTTGGTATCGGATCAAACAGTTTTCAAACGGTGAAGTTAGCCGGCGATGGTGATGATGAAGCCGGCGGAGTGGAACGGATCAGAAAGGAGAGCAAGCGTAATCGGGACTGGAAGCGATGCGGTGAGAGAGCCCAGAATCCGAGTGGACTGGACTGGACGTGGGGACAAACGATTGCACACTAAATGGCCAGAGACCGAGTCAAAGACCCGTTGCATCCGACGATCATGATCGCGCTCATCATCGTGGTCATCATCCTCTGCATCGGCGGTGGAATCATCATCCTCTGGCGGGAACCTGTGTGCGGAGGCGAGTGGGAAACCAGGCGAGCTCCAAAAAAGAAACAGAAGCTCTGCGGAGAAAGGAGAAAGGAGCTGCGAGATGTTCCCACCTCACACACACGCACGCGCTCACCAACACACCTGCAGGGGTGCTCACCACAATTCCTGCTAATTAAATGCGTGATCACTGGCCAAAAATATTCGCGCAGCAACCGAAAAGCTACAGTCCCGCCACCCTAAGAAGGATTTCTGGTCCATCTTCCCCTCGTATTCCTATTTAAAGAAAGCATTCAATAAAAAGTACACCAAGGCAATCTATAACATCTGTAATATTAATGATTTATTTTATAAAAATCATATTAAAAATTAAACGCTCACTTACACGAAAAGTGGAGTTGCTTTTCAGTGAATAAAGTTTCGTAATGGTATACCTTAACCACGTTTAAAAAACGCTTCAGCCTAACAAGAAAAGATATTTAAAGCTTCACTGAAATATCGGATTGATTTATGGAAGTTGGCCTGTATGGGCTGGTAACAAATACACATGCCATCGGAGTCATGCGTGCATTTCATCAGAGATGGGATGTCGGAAAGTCCGAGACTCCGACTGTTATGCCCAGTGATACACGTTGGGCCCGTCATCGGATCGCAGCTCGCTCAGTTGCACCTTTAATCGCTGAGCAAACAGGAAGACTTCTACGGCAAACAGACACATGCAAGCTCGCACACTCACTCACACACACAGACACATGCTGTGGGAAGAGCGGAGAGAACGGGAAAGGCGTACGAGGGGGAAAACAGGTTGAGAAGTACCGCTAAGCGGAGGCCCCAACTTTCCGAGGTCAACGAACGTTCTTAGCGCTCAAGAATGAAGGAATCAAAACACACCAGAAAACACAGAGCGCAGAAAAGAGAGAAAGAGTGTGAGAGAGAGGAGCGGAAGAAAGAGTAAAGAAAGCACAAAGAGAAAGCCAAGCGATCGACTTCAGAGCGCAACAGGTAAGCGCTCCCAAACCAAAAGCAAAAGAGTCAACCGAATACGAAAAGAGAGAGAAGCAGTATCTTTTATTGTGTTTTTGTATGCACATGCACTTTTGAAACGAATTTATCTGTTGCCCGCAGCTAAACGAAAAAGCTTACAAATGTGTATTTTTAGCCGCAGATTTAAAAGAACAAAAAGGGAGAGAGCGGAACAAAAGTCGCTTTGTAACTGTCTGTCTCATGACCAAAAGAAACCGAAATTCTTATTCTTATTGCTCAATATTTGGTAATACACACTCACGGATACAGATACAGATATAGATACAACTACAGACACAGTGCATTCGACGTGCAATAGCCATTCAATGTAGCGGTATTTTGTCGAAATTTCCTCAGTCTCGAGACGAGTACAAAGCTCATTGACCTCGTGCTCTCCCTCTATCCCCTTCTTTCTTTCTTCTCTCTTTTGCCTTCTGCCCCATTCCCTTGTAACAAGTGTGTAATGAGCGGGGAACGGGGGCCTGATTTGCTGTTTCTGATATTTTTTGGCGTTTTTAAGACGGACTTCCAGCTAACATTGGTTTCGAACATTTTCGGCTTTTATACTTCCTTCATATTCTTGGGTTTCCCTGGGGAATTTCTTTTTAATCTTACCAGATGGGGTATTTATCAGTAAGCCCACAAAACATTGGAAATGGGGAACGTATTTAGCTGACAGCCTGTTGATGCCATTTGCGTCTACTGCAATCCGATTGGTCAGCGGACTTGTTTCCCTACCAAAGGACACCTCTTTCCATTGGCTGTTGCTTCCCCCTCTCTTTCTCCCTCTGTCGCTTCTTCATCCTGCTTCGTGCTCAATGTCCTTTTGTTTCACAACCGCCTGTTGCCGTTTCGTATGCTCTTTCCCTGTAAAGGGCAGTATTCGGAAGGAAAAAGATAGAATATCTGAAAAAATGTTGATTACTACACGTCATATTTTTAAGCTCTTCACGCTTTGTGACTCATCGACTCTTCACTTCAAATGAAGTGAAATAAAATTAGCAAATTATTTCTAAAGTCATTTGTTATTTTACGAATGTTTTACGACTGTATATATTATATTATTTTTTTATATACACTTAGTTCGAATTACATTACAACATACATATTAACTATTACACAACTTTAATACTTTAAAAAAATATTTACAGTAAAGTGTCTTAGGATATATGTATATCTTGAAAGGGTATCCAAAGGTGTGCAACAATAACATTGCTTTTCTCTAAGCTTATTGTTGTCCTCACCCATTTTAGGAAAATAGCCATCCTGCTGTTTAATAGCATCCTTTGGCTCGTCCTTCTTTTTTGCATCGGAAAAGCAACAGTTTCCGGGTATAAATAGGTCCTGTGTTACTCTGATTCCATTCAGTTCGACTTTGATTCGAGTCTTGTGCTTGGTAAATTGAACTCTATTGTGATTGTGCGTGTACAACTTGGTAATGAAATAGTTGTGCTCCCAAAGTATATTAAAAGTGCTAAAATACTATAATTGTAGTCCAGAAGTTTATCATAAAGTGTCCAACAAAGTTTACAGCCTTACCTCAATATATTAACTATAATAAAATAATTTAAAGTATATAAAAAAGTGATATCCGTTGTAAGTGATTAATAACCAGATGAAATGCAACCAGATTATCATGTGGTCGTTTGAATTTTGTGTGTTAATTTCAAGTGAATGCAAACATATTTTTAAAATTCCCTAGATATCTAAAATGCATTTAATGCAACAATGTTGCTGTTCTATGACTATCAGCATTATTTGCGAAACGGCAAACATTTAATTTGATTTCCATCGATGGATTTCAGTTCATGTTTTCTTCGTTCTAAATGCATGACAAAATGCAGTTGGAGAATGGGTGCACGCGCTGCAGATCGCTGCAGATATAGTTAATTTGCGGTATTTAATATATAATCAAGCTATGCGAGTCAGCAAGCATAAACAATTAGAGGGTGCTTTCCAATTTAAACGGAATTTTGTTGGGAATCAGCTGGAGAACCGAGCGCATCCCCCTTGCTCAAACCCCTAATATCGTGCCATCTATGGGATGGCCAATTAGGGAGCTCCATGTTCCAACAACTTGCCAACACATCCCACTGCTCGATCGGATTTGTATTGCAGCCAACAAGCTAATTGGTTCCGGCCAGGTCTATAAAAGCACGGCGCTATCCCAAAAGCCCTAGTTATAGGACAAATATTATCACGGCCGCAATTAGGTAACCCATCGGGTTAGAACCCTTCCAGTGCCGGAGGCACTGCACCCTTGTGTTTTCACAGCTGTTAGCGTTTTCATAGCTTTTCCAAGCACTTTGCTTGTCATTTCCACTTCCAGCGAACGCCAGAAGCCCCACAACATCGGAAGTGCACAAGTTTCTATTCCATTATATTGTTCTCCGTTGTTTTCACTCTTTCCCACCAGCGGTCAGACGGTTGACGTTCCCATTCGGCATTTCAATTTGGCACAAGTCACCGAAAAATGGAGCTAGCCTAGCCAAGAGTCCAACAGGATTAGGCCAAACCCATTGCGAAACAAAGCGCCTGAAGATACATTTACAAGCCCCAATTGCGTGCGACAATTGCACAGTATTTACGTCAGCATCAGTTAAGTGAGGCGATTGCACCATGGACTTCAAGGAATACCGCCAAAGGGGTGAGTACTGCCCAAATCTGGGCCATAAAATGCACAGCGGCAGACGCGTGTAAGTAAATACCGGATGAAAATCCTATCCAAAGGGCCGTATATTTGATTGGCCCAAGGCGGCTTTGTCCCGGCCGTTTGTCTTCGTTTCCCGTAATTGAAATCCCACACACGGAGAAAACCCCAGCTATGCCGTATCATATTTTCAAATCAATTTTTATTGACATTTCCGAGCTTAAATGGCTGCTTTTGTCTAAAGCGTATGACAATTATTTATTCGCTACTTTTCGCTGAACAACAATATAATTTCAATTACACAATCAACATATGGTTAGTACACAGTATTTATTCACAACATATTTTACCTTTTAACTTTTATTTCAATCCTTAATGTCATCATAGGTTTTTCTCTTTCAGTACCTAAATATCTTCTAAATATTTTTGCAATCTAAGAATATTCTACCATAAATAGAAACAATATATATCAATTTCCATTTTATTTCCATTTACAGGCAAGGAGATGGTCGACTACATCGCAGACTATCTGGAGAACATCCGGGAGCGGCGAGTTTTTCCGGATGTAAGTCCCGGATATATGCGCCAGCTACTGCCGGAATCCGCTCCGATCGAGGGAGAACCGTGGCCGAAAATATTCTCGGATGTGGAGCGGATCGTGATGCCGGGCATAACCCACTGGCAGTCGCCCCACATGCACGCCTACTTTCCGGCCCTCAACTCCATGCCCTCGCTGCTGGGCGACATGTTGGCGGATGCGATTAACTGCCTGGGCTTCACTTGGGCAAGCTCGCCGGCCTGCACCGAACTGGAGATCATAGTGATGAACTGGCTGGGCAAGATGATCGGTCTGCCGGACGCCTTTCTCCACCTGAGCTCCCAAAGTCAGGGCGGCGGAGTGCTGCAGACCACGGCGAGTGAGGCTACCCTAGTTTGTCTGCTGGCGGGACGGACTCGGGCCATCCAGCGGTTCCATGAGCGACACCCTGGCTACCAGGATGCGGAGATTAACGCGCGGCTGGTGGCCTACTGCTCCGATCAGGCGCACTCCAGTGTGGAGAAGGCAGCGCTAATTGGTGGGTTTTACCTAACTGGCCTAGCTCCATTTACTTAGTTTAATAGTAATTGATTGTCAGGTGATCTCTTGATCTGATTACATGCCCTTCTAGCGTAAAGCATACACACTAACACTCCGATCCACATTCTCACTTGGTCGGCTCACTCGACCACAGCTAACTTTATTGTTTAAGCCGCTTACGGTTTAAGCCACACTCCCACTCTTTTGCTCCGCAGGACTCGTGAGGATGCGGTACATCGAGGCGGATGAGGACCTGGCGATGCGCGGCAAACTGTTGCGCGAGGCCATCGAGGATGACATTAAGCAGGGCCTGGTCCCCTTCTGGGTGAGTGGCAGTCTGTCAAAATTAATTGGCCCGCCCTCCGCAGCCAGCTGATTCCTGTTTTCTGATTCCCAACTCCCAACTCCCAACTGGAGAGCCCCAGATTCGCGACTCCCACTGGAGCCAATTAATACATGTCAGCATTTAAGTGTCCTGCGGTGGTTTATTTTTAGGTCTGCGCCACGCTCGGCACCACCGGCAGCTGCAGCTTCGATAACCTGGAGGAGGTGGGTGCTCTCGAAATAATTACAAGAAAATAGAATCATTCAACTGGCCACTAAACACATACCAGTGATATATAATTTTAATTAACTATAATTTACATATAGGATTTATATTTTCACTAGTTTGATGCCAAGCACCAAGTTTATATGATTTTGTTCCCTTAGATTGGCATCGTGTGCGCGGAGCACCGCCTGTGGCTCCACGTGGATGCCGCGTACGCCGGCAGCGCGTTCATCTGCCCGGAGTTTCGCACCTGGTTGCGTGGCATTGAGCGGGCGGATTCGATAGCCTTCAATCCGTCCAAGTGGCTGATGGTGCACTTCGATGCGACCGCATTGTGGGTTCGGGATAGCACTGCTGTCCACAGGACCTTCAATGTGGAGCCGTTGTATCTGCAGCACGAGAATTCTGGAGTGGCAGTGGACTTCATGCATTGGCAGATACCACTGAGTCGCCGATTCCGGGCTCTGAAGGTGTGGTTCGTCCTGCGATCCTATGGGATCAAGGGACTACAGCGCCACATCCGCGAAGGCGTTCGTTTGGCGCAGAAATTCGAGGCACTCGTCCTGGCCGATCACCGGTTCGAGTTGCCCGCCAAAAGGCATCTTGGACTGGTGGTATTTCGGATCCGCGGCGATAACGAGATCACCGAGAAGCTGCTGAAGAGGCTGAATCACCGCGGCAACCTTCACTGCATCCCCTCGTCGCTGAAGGGACAGTATGTCATCCGGTTCACCATCACCTCGACGCACACGACCTTGGACGATATCGTCAAGGATTGGATGGAGATCCGGCAGGTGGCCTCCACTGTGCTGGAGGAGATGAACATCACAATCTCGAACCGCGTCTATCTCAAGGGTAAACGCAAGGCCTGCCGGCTCAAGTAGCCACCGCTTCCGTTTCCGTTTTCGTTCCTGTTTCCGTTTCCGTTCCTGTTCATGTATTCAGCTTGTTAATGCACTCCGATCCACCCGCGATCGCTTTTTTTGAGTTTTGCTAATATACGGTTGAGCTTTGTTTGTATTCTACAGATTTCTGCTTTTTAGTTTTATTTGTAATTATTTATAAACACATTTGTATCGCCGTTAAGCAGAGAGTAAACCTCTTGTAGCATATTGTGGTCTAGCTTTCAGCCAAGGCAGTTAGACGTCTTCTAATCGCATCTTGTAACCCCGCAGAAACCAAGGAGAAAAACGAAGCTTTCGGCTCGAGTCTTCTGCTCTCCAATTCTCCGCTGTCGCCCAAGGTGGTTAACGGCTCCTTTGCGGCCATATTCGATGCGGATGAGTTTCTGGCCAAAACCTATGCCGGTGTTCGGATAGCGGTGAGTCGATATGGGTTAATTAAGCGCCCACTTTTTGGACTTACGGTATTCCAGCACCAGGAATCGCCATCGATGAGACGACGTGTGCGTGGCATCCTCATGTCGGGCAAGCAGTTCTCGCTGGATTCGCACATGGACGTGGTGGTTCAGACGACCCTGGACGCCGGCAATGGAGCCACTCGCACCAGCACCACCAACTCCTATGGCCGCACCACCTCCGCGGCCCAGGCAAACGCAGAGCGGCAGGCCAGCATCCAGGAGGACAACGAGGAGTCCCCGGAAGGTATGAAGCCCAGGTAGTGTACTCCGCTTTTTAGATATATCGCTAGAGCTAGTCAGCAATTGAGAGCCTCTTGCATAAAGCAGACCAGTGGTGTCGATTGACAATTTTACACATTCCTTATCACAGTATTCCTGTGGCAGGATAAGATTTGATAAGAAACACTTTCAAGGTGATTAATAATGAGACGGTCGCTTAAAATTAGTCCATGCGGCATTACTGGTCAACGTGTTAGAAACTCCTGCTAACCATTTCAGTAATCTAATTTTATTTTAGAAACTGAATTGCTGTCACTGTGCAGCACCAGCAATGCACCCACCCCCGAGCACGCCCACTCCCTATCCACTCCTAGTCGCAGTTGCAGCTCCAGCTCCCACTCACTGACCCACTCCCTCACCCAATCCTCGCCGCGGTCCTCACCCGTCAACCAATTCCGACCCATTACCTTGTGCGCAGTGCCCAGTCAGAGCCATCTTTCCATGCCCGTTGCCACGCCCCTGCCCAATCGCAATGTCACCGTGTCCGTGGATAGCCTCCTGACCCCGGTCACCACCTGCAACGTTTACCATGGCAAGCGGTTTCTGGAGCCCCTCGAGAATCTCGCCCAGACCAGTGCCTCCTTCAGCAGCAGCATCTTCCGCCTGCCGACGCCCCTGGCCACGCCCACCCAGGACTCGCTGGAGGATCCGGACTGGCCGGCGAAGACGTTCAGCCAGCTGCTGCTGGAGCGCTACTCCTCGCAGTCCCAATCCCTGGGCAATGACTCCTCGACGGAGAGTAGCAGTCTCAGCGGCGGTGCCACGCCCACGCCCACGCCCCTTAGCAGCCTGGATGAACTGGTGACGCCACTGCTACTGTCCTTCGCATCCCCCTCGCAGCCGATGCTCACCGCCCATGGCATTGGGGAGGGTCAGCGGGAGCGGGGCAGCGACTCGGATGCGACCGTTTGCTCGACAACCTCATCGATGGAGTCGCTTTAGGGATTGCCTTAAAATGTCCATATTATGTTTTACTATGCTAAGAATCTAAGGACAGAGTTAGTTATTTTTATGATCATTTTCTCTTACTATACATATTTAAAGAAGAAGTAGTTCATGAACTAACTACTCATATAATTTGTCTGAAGTTACATGTTTTATTTTGACCCTACACCTTTTCAATTTTTTTTGGTACCTCAATTCGATGTATATATTATTTTGATTGGGGAGAAGGGAAATCATCGAACACTGCTGTGCAATCAATCAATAATGCAATCAATCGTAATTCCAATCAATGTTGTGCCGTACGTTAATCTACAAAATATGCATGCCCATTACAATAAATTTCCTATTTTAAGCTAGCAATCGGTCAAGACTAAAACTCAACAACTTACCGGCTTACATATGTATCTCCATGTTTAATCGATTTCAGTGTGATTAAAGTTTCAAGGTTCTAGTTAAACACAAGCAAAATATTTGTTTTATTGCTGGCAGCATGTGCTGCTCTAAGCCCACTTTGGATTTTTGTTGTGTAGTCACAGTTTATTGGCGTCCTTAATTGACACTGATTACAAGTCGCTCAAGTTCCAAATCATGTCGATAATCCTGCAGTAAATTTGGTGCACTCGATCCCAAGGGGAGGAAAATGATCGTTTCGTCTCTGGAAGAACACGATGCACCCCTAGGCGGGTGATAGCTCTGGGTTACCACCTGGGGAGTTACCTTCTGGGGAGTTACCACCGCCCACTGCACTCGACCCACTGTCCTCGCCACTGTATTCCATGTAGACATCACCATTATCCGCCTGCACCCAGTTGCCTTCTAACGGAGATTCCGTGGTTTTCGCGGCCTTCGAAGCGATCCGGTAGACAATCTGTGCATAGAATGTGAGCAGGAAGATGATGATGAAGTCATGGAAGAGGATGAGCGAGGCCAGCAGGTGATCGTTCAGTCGCATCTCGGCAAAGCGTCCACCATTGATCGTCTGGGCATGGTACATCACGAACTAAGTGGTAATATGCAATCACCTTACGGCTCACAAGTAGTTCTAATTCCTAATTTTTACCAAGAGCACAATGATGCTTATGAAGATCTGGAATACCACGAAGGAGTACGGCATCTCGATCAGAATGTGCATCATGACAAAGAATACGGTGACGATCAGGAAAATAAAGGCCATTACAAACAGTATCACTACGTCCAATGTAAGATCGTGCTGGGAGAACGAATTCAAGCAAAAATAGCAGATATATATAGGTGTATCAAAAACCTTACTGGTATTATGGATCCCAGCAGCACAAACAGCAAGACCAATAGCACACAGATGAAAAACCACATTAACAAGTCTTGCCAAAGAGTTCTCGCCACCAGAGCGAATGTACCGATTATCACAAACTCCACCTAGCCAAGGGAATCCAGGTGGTAGATCAGGCAGCAAGTGGTCCTAGGATACTCACTATAAGCACGGCGATCAGCCAGTTGAGGCCAATGATGAAGCGGATCTTCTCGAAGAATATGAACAGCGTGACCATCACCATGGCCAGCGCGAAGAAGATCACGCTAATCCAGTAGTAGTTTTTGAAGACCACGGTTATGTCCGATCTGAAAGAGCAGAGCTTACACATGCACCCCAACAGCTTCCCAACTCACATCAGGCTGACCAGCAGCCACTGCAGCAGGGCCAGGACCATCCAGGCTATGGTCACCATGTAGACGACGCAGGCAAACTTCCGGCGGGCCCGCCGATATGCCTGCATTCTCTGGCGGCGGTCCTCCATGGCGGTGTGGGCGTGGCCCGGTTATCGTGTAGCAGTATGGAATACGGTAATAAACAATAACTAATCTCAAACCTAATGGAGAAGTCCAGGCCACTGTGATACGTGGTGATGCTCGCTAGATGAAATACGCACATTTGCGCACTCAGCACGAAGAACGAGGGTATGCACTATTCACAAACTTTCAGTTATTAAGAACTTCAGTTTACATATCAACAGCAAGCACAAAGACGTATATCGTCACATTATCTAAAGGATTATACTGGATTGACTTCAGAAACCTTTTCGAGAACACAGATATCTAAGATTTTTTAGGAACGCTTTCAAGGAATACAAAATCATTCCGTGCAATATGTAAAATGGGACTAAGTCAGTTACACAAAAGTATTATATGGCCGTACTTTACGGCTGCAAGGGACTTTCCACGCCACAAAATCAACAGCAAGGTAACCATTACCGGCCAAAACCATTACCGGCCTACCGCGACTCCGCTGGCGGGCAGAACAGTTGGCATTTATTTTTCTGATAGTTTGATGTTTTCTCATAAATTTAGATGTGAATCGAAACAAGCCAGTCCAGAGCGTCTGTACATATGTTGCGCGAAAACCCCCCACCGCGCCAAAAGAGTTGGGTGGGACCCACGTACAAAGTAACCATAATTATGCTTGTCATCGGACAGATTCAGGTGTCGATCATCATGGAGATGTGAGTATGAGGTCCTTGCTCTTGTCCTCCTGCCCTTGACAGACCCCTAAATGGATCTCCCTGCTCAGCTCGCCTCTGAAGGAATTTTTCGGGGAACGCTTCTACCTCAGTCTCGTGCAGTTTGTCATCAGCTTTCTGTCCATCCAGCTCTATGGATTCTTCTACAACATCATCGCCAAAAAGCCCATGTGGGTGCGGGTATTGGCGGGCCTCTGGACGGTAAGTATATGATCTCAACTGATTTCATCTAAATGCCATCTTTCAATCGCCAGTACGAGGTGAACACCATGTCGATCATGAAGCCCGCCAAACGAGCCCCTTATATAAGCCTCATCCTGTCCTTCTTCCTCACCTTCGCCATGATGATCGTCAGTATAATATACGGAAATAAGGCCGTCAAGCACCAGAGAGGCCTTTTCGTAAGTGAGGAACTTGTTGGCCCACCGTCACTTACCCCCTTTACCACAGACTTCCCGGCACAAGGTGATCCTGTGGAGCGAGCGGATATTTGTGCTCACCTGCTTTGGCATCATCGTATGTGCGGAGATGAAGCGTGTTATCATAGAGTTCCCTACCCTGCTAATATACACCATACTCTCGAGCGTGGTAAGCTGTTGCCCTATTAACGAATCAGTATTCCTCCAATTTGTCCAACAGTTCGTTGTAGTCTTTGCCGCTTCCATGCGAAGGCCGAACTTCTACCGTCAGGAGTCGGACGGGGATTACATACTGATCGGCCAGCTGTACTACCTCAACTTCTTTGCCCTGTACATGGGCTACGTGTGGACGACTGCCTCGTTTCTAGAACTGATGGAATGGAACGCGGACATTTATGACATATTCGTGCAACTCTTCTATCGGGAGAACATCGAATGAGTGGGACGCATGCGTGGACTATCGGAACAGCTGGGACAGAGTGTTTACGCGAGACTAGGCAGTTCCTGCGGCAATTGGTCAGTGCCTCGATGTCGATGGGGCAAGTTTGTCTGGGTGGCGCGACTGCTGTCGTCTTGATTCGATTCGGTTTGCCGGAAAATCGATAACTGTTTTCTTGGCACGCGCATCTTAAGCAAAAAACGCTGAATGTAAATAAATGGCTCTGTCCGCGAATCGTTTCGATAAAACTCCGGTGGACTTCATGGGATCGGTTAAAGTGTAGGTGGCATGATGTATTTTAAATTGGATGACATACACGTATATATAATTGTATATATGCAATACACATTAAGGGGACCTCTGGTCGCGGCTACAACACATAAAAATGTTAAGTTTACCATTAAGATTTAATAATTACAATCTGGTTAAATATATGCTAGACGCAATTTTAGTAAGTTATCCTTTTGATTTTCATCTCCCCGTTCTCCTATTGCGCAAAAAGACCAGAAAGGCTTCCGTCCCAGTTGTGTTTGTTTGGTCCTTTTCCATTTCGTATCCATGTGTTTACCTCGCTCCCTAGGAGGCTTTAGTGCGGCGGTGCTTGGGTGATGGCCTTGTTTCCTCCACCACTGCCGCTGTCACTGCTAGATGGCCAAACGGACACTAAAAAGGGAAATGCACAGTGTCAGAACTTTGTTTATATCAGATGCAGCGAGTTCCTCTTCATATCCTGTCCAGCAAACAACTTCTCGAAATTACATGAAATCGCAGGCTTCTTTAGTACGTCTACACAATCATTGCTTTAAGTTGACGAACGATTATTAATTAACTACTTTTAAAGTCAGCTTTTATACCTCTCGCTTTCAGCGCAGATTTAATTCATAATCCTCAAAGTTATTACCCCTTTTTTAAGTTTGAAATTACGTTTGAAATGTAGTTTTTCCAACATTGCACTACAAATACAATACTTTTAACTTCTTAATAGCTTTGCTGATACTACATATGTACATATGAACTTTATAGTTCACACACTTACGACATGGAGGTTCTAATCTTCCCACACAACAGACTAAACAAATATAATGATAATTAACACTTAGGACAGGCACAAAAACAACAATTACCTTTAGAGCGTTTAAGTTGCTTAACTTAAGACTTTTAAAAAATATAATATACAATTTAAGGTGTATATAGTAGGAGCCAGTACACGTAGACAAACGTGTTTAACAATTAATCTGAACCTTAACTTTGCTGATTGGGAAACGGAATTTGTTTTTCTGTGAGTGTGTGTGTTTAATTGTATCAATTGAAAAGCGACACTGCAAGTAAACAGAAATTCACAAGGGGTTCTCATCAGTACGATAGGAGTATCTGTTATTGGATTAGTTAGCTGCGAGCCACATGCATAAGTTGTTAGGACCGAAACCACAGGTTGTGCAAGATTAGGGCGTTTGCAGGGCGTCGACTTGCGTTACAGATATAACCATACCAACCCAAAACCAGCCACCTAGCTACAGTACTGATCTTTAGCCTGATCGAGAAAAACCGCAACCAGAAGCACCAGCAAGAGGCAAAAGCCGAAGCGGTATAAAATCGGTAAGCTTACCCAGAACGATGATGAGCAGCACAACGGCTATCACGCCCATGATAATCATCATTTTCATGTTTGCCCACCACTGCTTGCGCTTCAGCTTGCCGGCCTGCTGCTCGAACTGGGAAGCTCCCTGCTCCAGCTGGTCCGCACGCTCGCCCAGCTCCGATAGCTTCTGGTCCCGCTCCAGGACCTTCTCCACGTTCACACGCATAATCCCGACCACCTCGTCCACCTTGGCTTGGGTCTGCTGCAGCTTCTTCTGAGCCGCATTGTTGTTCCTGATTTGGTGGTCCCCGAATTGATTGTAGTTGTCGTCATTCGCGTTCGGCGGTGGCGGAAGTATGGGAAAACTGTACAATATTATGTGTGTTTGTGTTGGATGCTTACACTTGTTAAGAGCACCAGATGTGGATCACCAAGCTGTAGCGCACAAAAGCGTGAATCTTGAAGGCGTTTATCATCATCATAATTGTTATAATTATTTTCTTTGTGAGGCTATACAAATTTACCTTTCACGTTTTAATAATGGGACTTGTTCCTATACATATTTTCTTTCTTCTCAAAAATCTGATAGGTTCAATAAAACCTCACAATCTTAAGTGTTGTTAAAATTCTTTACATGTTTAACAAAAAAACAATGCAATGAGTAACATTCATTTGTTTTTCATAGCAGTTAAATGATACATCTAATGTATGTATTGATAACATTTAAGCATTGTTTCTTTATGAATATAAGCTACTGAAAAATGTTTTCAACTTTTTATCGAATGTAAACAATACTCCTTTGCTATTCGAGGTAATAGAATTAATATCACATTAATATCGCAACTTTAATGACCCCAATTGACTTCATACTACAACTGAAGCTATCGCTTGAGCAGCATGACGTTTAAGGTATTCCAAAGTGCGAAAGTAAAGCATGAAGCATACTTCCGGTTTGGCTTGGCCCATATGAGTCAGATGACGTCACTAGATGGGATTTTCCTCGCTTTTGTGCGCTGAGCCTGTTGATTCGATGGATTCCACCACTTACTCGTTGTTGTTGGATCCGGAGGGGGAGGGGGCTTCGTTGTTCTCCATTGCGAAGTTGCTGCGGGAAGAAAGTGAAGCAGAGAAAGGCCTTTATTGAATGTCTGGGTCATACAAGCTGCCGAAGTTGTTTAGATTACAGGTCCGAAAAGAAAAACAACAGAACGCAGTACACGCCTTATCTATTCGGTCTATGAATCACTCGATTTAGAGAAATGCCATCACCATCGCACGAAAAAATAACTTGTTGCATGCCGCACTGCCAACAAAGGCTGTTTACATGGGTGGAACACCACCCCCAGCCACCCACCACCCCCGAGCACCCACCTTGACAATGTGCTTGTAGAATACTGCTGTGTATTTCGGGTTTTCCACGGAAAACTGCGGCTGCTTTTTAAATAGCACTATTTTTTTGTAGAAATATCAGCTTGTGATCAGTGTGACCGTTGAACTATTAGAGCTGGAACCAAACCCGATAGATTATCGATACTATCGATGTTCACTGCAAGCGCTTTGTATATAAACAAAAATAAATTTATTAATCTTATAATAAACAAGTATTGGTATATTTAGAGTGTATCAGTAGCTAAATTATTTTTTCGAAATGTGAGACACAGGTGATAAGCATTTGCACTTGTTTTTCAACTTAGTTCGTTGCAGGTGTAGTTTGATTTACGCTTAAATTAAATTAAGTAGATATATTTTATTACTTAGATTAGCAATGTCACAAGCTGAGATCAAAGTTCTTTGCTCTAATTTAAATTTTATATTTTCCATAGAGATCAGGGGAAAATATTAATAACACACAAATGCTAAACTAGCACAGACTAGAACCACTGCACTGTTATACCGAGCTATGTATATGTCACATGTAATATTATTGTAGAATTCGAAAGCTATGTAGAATATTGTTCACACAACTCGTCACTAATTTTGGATCGGTAATATATAACCTGTTTTAGTTTTTCTTTCTGCCAATAGATGTCAAAGAAACTTAAAGGTGCTTTAATAGTAAAATATCAATAAATTAAAATGAAATTATATCCTACTACAGTTACTTGAAATAGATAACTACTAACACACAAAAATAATACATTTATTTTTTACAGGGTGAAAATCTTGTAAGGAACTATGGAAAATGCATAACTCCCTGGTGTCCAAGTTGCTGCTGCGGCTCCTGCTGCTCTTCGCTTTGGTGACAGGCGCCTCAATTGTGGTGCTCACGAAATGCGGATTCGATGAACTGACGACGAAGGAATCTCAAGCCAATAATCCGAGTGAGTCGAGCGGATTCAGTTACACCTTAAGCGAGCGGGAGGCGGAAATAGAGCGTCTGAAACAGGAGGTCCTGGCTCTCCGCACTCAAATCCTCTTTCTGCAGAATAATCGCAGTACTGCCAAGCCATCCAATGGCAGTCTTCAGTTGCAAGAAACCACCGTGGGTGCACCAACCGCTCCACTGGGTCACCATTACGACTGCAGCAGCTATATTCGCAAGCAGGTGGGCGCCGCAGAAATTCTACATGGACTGCCGCTGAACAACGAGTACGAGCTGATACCCTACAATCACTTCACCTTCACCCGGGTATATCCCATCGACTTGGGCCTGGGAAAGCGCGTGGTGGAGAAGCCCATCGGCTATCGACGACGTGACCTCATCGAGGCGGTAAACAAAGCGCTGGAGAGCCTGAACCGGAATCACTCAGCGAGGATACGAGCCAAGGGAGCTGGTTCAGCAGCGGCTTACGCCTCCGATGTGATCAAATACACCCTGGATGACTTTATCGAGGGCATATACCGCAATGAACCCACCACAGGCACCCAGTACGAGCTGTACTTCCAGAGTGTCAAGCACCAGGCGAGTCCTGTGCGGAGAGCCCTGGTCATGCGACCCTTCGCTCCTCTGCAAACGGTGCAGCTATCGGAGCTGTCCGCCACTGTGGACAATGGTAGTGTCCCTCCAACTCACAGCCCGCCCATAATCCACGTGATACTGCCGTTGGCTGGACGCCTGCACAGCTTTCGCAGCTTCCTGCAGATGTTCGCCAAGCTCGAGGATCGCCGCCTGGAGCTTATTGTGGTGTACTTTGGAACTAGCGGATTGGGGCAAGCTAAGAGCCTGGCTGGACGAACACAAAGGACTCAGTTCCTGGCACTCAATGAGACGTTCAGTAGGGGTAAGTACGCTTCTTTTAATATTTCAATTTTGATTTACTTTGCAGTGTCTCGTCCTTTTTATATTTGAGTGTAATTTGGTGTCAGTTGGGTTTGCATGTTCCTAATATCATTTTTGTAGTTTTTCTGATGTATGAAAAAAAAGTACGAAAAAATTAAAACAATGTACTCAGGCTGAACTTCTAAGCTCCATAACTCAACTTATCTTAATCGGATTTTGAAGTGGCATACCTCTAAATGTTTCTGGAGCAATTCTCTAAAAATATGCATTCAAATTTAGAAATTTATTTTTTTTTAATATTTTTGTAATTTTTCTGATGTTGAAATTGAACAAAGTTAAGAAATGTCCTAAGGCTGAAGTTCAAAACTCCATAACTGAACTTATATTAATCGGATTTTGAAGTGGCATACCTCTAAATGTTTCTAGCGCAATTGCATTCAAATTTAGAAATTTATTTTTTTTGAATTTTTTTGTAGTTTTTCTGGTGTGTAATGTCGAGTAATTCAAAAAAAAAATAAAAAATGTCCCAAAGCTGAACTTCTAGACTCCATAACTCAATTTATCTTAATCGGATTTTGAAGTGGCATACCTCTAAATGTTTCTGGCGCAATTCTCTAAAAATTTGCATTCAAATTTAGAAATTTATTTTTTTTTTAATTTTTTTGTCTTTTTTTTGATGTTATGATGTTGTAGAAATTCAAGAATATTAAGAAATGCCCCAAATCCGAAGTTCTAGACTCCATAACTCAACTTATCTTAATCCGATTTTGAAGTGGCATACCTCTAAATGTTTCTGGAGCTATTCTCTAAAAAACTGCATTAAAATTTAGAAATTTTTTTTTTTTTAATTTTTTTGTCTTTTTTTTGATGTTATGATGTTGTAGAAATTCAAGAATATTAAGAAATGCCCCAAATCCGAAGTTCTAGACTCCATAACTCAACTTATCTTAATCCGATTTTGAAGTGGCATACCTCTAAATGTTTCTGGAGCTATTCTCTAAAAAACTGCATTCAAATTTAGAATTTTTTTTTTTTTTATTTTTTTGTCTTTTTTTTGATGTTGTAGAAATTCAAGAATATTAAGAAATGCCTCAAATCCGAAGTTCTAGACTCCATAACTCAACTTATCTTAATCCGATTTTGAAGTGGCATACCTCTAAATGTTTCTGGAGCTATTCTCTAAAAAACTGCATTAAAATTTAGAAATTTTTTTTTTTTTAATTTTTTTGTCTATTTTTTGATGTTATGATGTTGTAGAAATTCAAGAATATTAAGAAATGCCCCAAATCCGAAGTTCTAGACTCCATAACTCAACTTATCTTAATCCGATTTTGAAGTGGCATACCTCTAAATGTTTCTGGAGCTATTCTCTAAAAAACTGCATTCAAATTTAGAATTTTTTTTTTTTTAATTTTTTTGTCTTTTTTTTGATGTTGTAGAAATTCAAGAATATTAAGAAATGCCCCAAATCCGAAGTTCTAGACTCCATAACTCAACTTATCTTAATCCGATTTTGAAGTGGCATACCTCTAAATGTTTCTGGAGCTATTCTCTAAAAAACTACATTAAAATTTAGAAATTTATTTTTTTTTAATTTTTTTGTAATTTTTCTGATGTGCAAATTCGAAAAAATGAAAACAATGTACTCAGGCTGAACTTCTAAGCTCCATAACTCAACTTATCTTAATCGGATTTTGAAGTGGCATACCTCTAAATGTTTCTGGCGCAATTCTCTAAATTTCTGCATTCAAATTTAGAAATTTATTTTTTTTTAATTTTTTTGTAGTTTTTCTGGTGTGTAATGTCGAGTAATTCAAAAAAAAAAAAATAAAAAATGTCCCAAAGCTGAACTTCTAGACTCCATAACTCAATTTATCTTAATCGGATTTTGAAGTGGCATACCTCTAAATGTTTCTGGCGCAATTCTCTAAAAATTTGCATTTAAATTTAGAAATTTATTTTTTTTTAATTTTTTTGTAATTTTTCTGATGTGCAAATTCGAAAAAATGAAAACAATGTACTCAGGCTGAACTTCTAAGCTCCATAACTCAACTTGTCTTAATCGGATTTTGAAGTGGCATACCTCTAAATGTTTCTGGAGCAATTCTCTAAATTTCTGCATTCAAATTTAGAAATTTATTTTTTTTTAATTTTTTTGTAATTTTTCTGATGTGCAAATTCGAAAAAATGAAAACAATGTACTCAGGCTGAACTTCTAAGCTCCATAACTCAACTTATCTTAATCGGATTTTGAAGTGGCATACCTCTAAATGTTTCTGGAGCAATTCTCTAAATTTTTGCATTCAAATTTAGAAATTTATTTTTTTTGAATTTTTTTGTAATTTTTCTGATGTGCAAATTCGAAAAAATGAAAACAATGTACTCAGGCTGAACTTCTAAGCTTCATAACTCAACTTATCTTAATCGGATTTTGAAGTGGCATACCTCTCAATGTTTCTGGAGCAATTCTCTAAATTTCTGCATTCAAATTTAGAAATTTATTTTTTTTGAATTTTTTTGTAATTTTTCTGATGTGCAAATTCGAAAAAATGAAAACAATGTACTCAGGCTGAACTTCTAAGCTCCATAACTCAACTTATCTTAATCGGATTTTGAAGTGGCATACCTCTCAATGTTTCTGGAGCAATTCTCTAAATTTCTGCATTCAAATTTAGAAATTTATTTTTTTTTTAATTTTTTTGTAATTTTTCTGATGTGCAAATTCGAAAAAATGAAAACAATGTACTCAGGCTGAACTTCTAAGCTCCATAACTCAACTTATCTTAATCGGATTTTGAAGTGGCATACCTCTCAATGTTTCTGGAGCAATTCTCTAAATTTCTGCATTCAAATTTAGAAATTTATTTTTTTTTAATTTTTTTGTAATTTTTCTGATGTGCAAATTCGAAAAAATGAAAACAATGTACTCAGGCTGAACTTCTAAGCTCCATAACTCAACTTATCTTAATCGGATTTTGAAGTGGCATACCTCTAAATGTTTCTGGAGCAATTCTCTAAATTTCTGCATTCAAATTTAGAAATTTATTTTTTTTGAATTTTTTTGTAGTTTTTCTGGTGTGTAATGTCGGGTAATTCAAAAAAAAAAAATAAAAAATGTCCCAAAGCTGAACTTCTAGACTCCATAACTCAATTTATCTTAATCAGATTTGGAAGTGGCATACCTCTAAATGTTTCTGGCGCAATTCTCTAAAAATTTGCATTCAAATTTAGAAATTTATTTTTTTTAAATTTTTTTGTAATTTTTCTGATGTGCAAATTCGAAAAAATGAAAACAATGTACTCAGGCTGAACTTCTAAGCTCCATAACTCAACTTATCTTAATCGGATTTTGAAGTGGCATACCTCTCAATGTTTCTGGAGCAATTCTCTAAATTTCTGCATTCAAATTTAGAAATTTATTTTTTTTTAATTTTTTTGTAATTTTTCTGATGTGCAAATTCGAAAAAATGAAAACAATGTACTCAGGCTGAACTTCTAAGCTCCATAACTCAACTTATCTTAATCGGATTTTGAAGTGGCATACCTCTAAATGTTTCTGGAGCAATTCTCTAAATTTCTGCATTCAAATTTAGAAATTTATTTTTTTTGAATTTTTTTGTAATTTTTCTGATGTGCAAATTCGAAAAAATGAAAACAATGTACTCAGGCTGAACTTCTAAGCTCCATAACTCAACTTATCTTAATCGGATTTTGAAGTGGCATACCTCTAAATGTTTCTGGAGCAATTCTCTAAATTTCTGCATTCAAATTTAGAAATTTATTTTTTTTTAATTTTTTTTTGTAGTTTTTCTGGTGTGTAATGTCGAGTAATTCAAAAAAAAAATAAAAAATGTCCCAAAGCTGAACTTCTAGACTCCATAACTCAATTTATCTTAATCGGAGTTGGAAGTGGCATACCTCTAAATGTTTCTGGCGCAATTCTCTAAATGTCTGCATTAAAATATAGAAATTTATGTTTTTTTTAATTTTCTGATGTATGATGTTGCTTACAGCCAAAGCATTAAGACTGGGAGCAGAGCACATTCAACCTGCAACGGAGGACGTGCTGCTCTTCATGTGTGACGTGGACATAATGTTCACGACCAAATTCCTGGAGCGCTGTCGCTGGAATACCGCGCCCGGAAAGAAGGTAAATATAGTTGCTATTTAAAAAATACATTTTAAATGCATTAATACTTCTGTTAAATGCTCAGGTCTACTACCCCGTGGTATTTAGCCTGTACAATCCGCATGTGGTGTACTCTCTGCAGGGCAAATCCTTGCCCAGCGAAGAGGAGCAGCTGGTGATCTCGAGGGACACCGGATTCTGGCGGGACTTTGGCTACGGGATGACGTGCCAGTACCGCTCGAACTTCCTAAAGGTGCGCGGCTTCGACGAGGAGGAGATTGTGGGCTGGGGCGGCGAGGATGTGATGCTGTACCGAAAGTATGTTCGCTCCAAAATCAAGATAATCAGGGCCACCGATCCGGGCATCTTCCATCGCTGGCACACCAAGGTATACCCATGGCATACCCATCCAATTTCAACCCCTTGGATCTACCAAGTTCTCTGTTTCACAGATCTGCTCCAGTTCCCTGACAGCCGATCAGTACCGCGCCTGCATTCGATCGAGGGCTTTGAACGAGGCCTCGCACGCACAACTCGGATTCCTGGCCTTCCGGGATGATATAGCCGCGGCTAATGCCGCAAAGATTACGTCTTGATACGCGACTATGCCCCATGTTTCCCCCATCGCTTGGCTTCTCTACTTGAAAGTGTGTGAAAGGAGAGCAGTGATATAGTTTTAATATCTAGGATTTTCTACTCATTATAGCTTATTTATCTATTGCGTTTCATTATACAATTGTGTGATTTCATTTATTGCCAGCGAAGTATTAGTAATTCAATGTATTGTTTTAGATAGAATATACAATATTGTGATATCTATTTTATGCTTCAGTTAATCAGTTTTTAAATCAATTTTAATTTACAAAATTTTTAACAGACCACTGCCACTGTATCACACATGCAAACACACGTACTTACTGTAGGCCATAAAGTATGTACAACTTGAGACAATAACTCGTATTTAGCCGAATCGTTGAATTAGCTTAATTGTTGATCTTATTGCGCCCTCCAGGGCACACACACACACATATACAAAGATGAAGACAAATCGCACAGTACACGTACACATCACAAATTGTTCTTCCATGAAGCGAACTAGATGCAATCTCCAAAGCCCAAGAAAATATATATTTACGAGTACCATATCGAATATGTATCTCAAACTGAGCCTAGCAATTCTGCCAGATTGTTGCGCGCTTTGTAAAAACTAAATTAAATCGTTTAATTAAACTTGTCGCCTGGCTGTTGTTGTTTTTTGCCGGTGGGTTAGCTCTTTATGGCCAATGCCAACGACCTTTGCCTGGGGTTCAGTGAGCATGCAGACCAAGAAGGTGATCCATGGCGCCACCTTTATACCTCGGATGAACCCCTACTCAGGTAATTTGTCATGCTCGATAGCGGAGATTCTTCTTCGGCAAATTGATTTGATACAACGGTCCTCCACTCTTATAGAAATTTTATTTAAGTACTTTAACGATTTACCTGTATTATTTGAACGTTCTTCCGTACGGAAAATAAAATAAGTCAGAGAAGCGTTTTAAAGGAAATGTAATTAATTTTAATAACTGAGATTTCATAGCAGTATGATACATCTATAAATAATTTTGGCATGAAAGAGTGCAAATTTAGTGAATACATTTCCGCAAGCTCCCACGTATTCCTCAAATATTATATATTTGAATAAAACTACTAATAGCTGGTGTGAGGTGTACAATGCAAACTTTTATTACAAATTATTTTGTTCTTTCTTCTTAAGTAAGCCATGATAGAAATTGATTCTAGCATACTGTTTCTTAAAAGTCTTTTAGGGTATTTTAAGTCTCTGGCAGACTGCATAAGATTTCTTCAGTTGGGACGTCAGGTGGAAAGTCTTTTCATGGTCACGGTCGCGGATTATGTAAGCGCTGAAAAGCGTGTTGTTCCAGTTGCCGGTGGAAATGCTAATCTCGTGCTTAGACCTAAAGCAGATCTTAGTCACTCAAATGCCGAGAAGCCGGAATAATCCGCGATAATTTCACAGGAGTGTTCGCGGGGCATTACGCAACAGAGGCATAATTAGCAAGCTTCTCGATGAGACAATCAAGGCGTTTCTTGGGCACATCCTCCTTGTCATTCTCCGAATGCCAAACTGACCATGAAACGAGAGCACAGCACGCCCCAAGGTGTTGGAGCAGGCGAAGTGACAAATCGACGTCCCGTCCCCGGCCAAAAAGAAAAAAGAAAAAAAATTCTAAAAATGTAAAGCACTGGCTGCCAACACCCTGGCCACGAATGCCAGCGAACCACAGCCGTCAGCAGCAGCACCACCACCGAAAACCAAGCCACCTCTATTAGCCACGATGATCCGGGGCTGGGATCGCGGTTCAGTGCTCTCGGCTTGGGCAGAAGCACAGCTCGGGTTGGAGTTCAGATAAATACGGATCCATCGGCTTCGACCACATCATTCGCGGTCTGTCGCCAGCTCGAGAAGCTTTGGCTCGTTGTGATACAGTGTGAAAGGATACCTCGGCTTCACCCCCAAATTGGAAAGGCACAACGCGTGCCAGGTGCTAAATTTGTGATCGATTCGGTGGAGCAGCTGAAGAGGCAACAACATGCGTGCTATAATGTTGGTGAGTTCGAACCTGAGGAATTCCACAAAGGACTGGTTTAAGACTTAAACCTTCAGAAAATCATTAGTGGTGATATAATTTTCGGGATATCTTGTAGTTTACATCCACAGGATGTTTCCATAGTTTGATACCTCAGAGGTATCCTTTATATCTGAACAGAATTAGGAACAGGGAAACTAGCCAGTTTTAAAGTGGGGTTCCCTTAATATTAATGCCAATTTTTCTTTTGAAATTGAAATGTTAAAAATAAATTGTAATTTAAATTTAAATTAATGCGGACTTGATTTTTGAAAATTTTTTCTGTAAGTGATGATCCTTAATATTTACTCAACGAACTTTAAACGTTAATATATTTGAAGTACTCTCAAAAACATAGTATATTTTGATAAAAAGAGATTTTATTGACTATTATTGCAAATACAATATAATGTTGTATCATAAAATCTCATATACACCTATTTTGAATTAATTTGAAGAGCCTGCTCCCTTTTATATCAATATACCCTCACATCTTTTTAAAAGCCGTTTTTAAATGGAGCATAAATCAGAATCTGACAATTATTGTTTTCCTTTGAAAAGAGATTTCTTATAGCAATAGTTTGATTCATATTCATCCCCTGCCAACTCAGCTCTGCTTAATCGTGTGACTCAAAACTTATTCTGACCCCGAAAAAGTCTTATGCAACTTTCGTAGAACCCATTATGCAACCCCCGAAATATAACGATTATGTATGCAAATTTGGACAGACCAAAAAAAAAAAGCAATATCTAGTGGAGCCCATTCATACGTTTTAGATGGCAACGACCGGCGTACAGAAAACTATTTGCCACATTCATATACTCACCTTTCGGTACTCGCTCGAAATATAATTATTCTAATGAAGTTGGCCGGAGTCAGTGACAAGTCACGTCGATCCATTCCCCACATGCCAAAGCCAACACCATCGGCCTGGCCGGAAGTTGTTCCTGATGCTTGGCTAACAAAGCGTGGCGGCCAGCTAGCAAAATATTTTCCATGATTAACTCTGCCCGGGCTGGTCATTCTCGATTTTTTCGGCCTCAGCGTATACCGCTCGAGTTATGATTCCGATTCCAATGCAGAGCCCAAAATCTGATTCATGCAGCCATGAGCCGGGCTCGGAAATGATGTCAATGCTATGTGGCCAACCCCGAGTACTTGGCTACTTGGCTACTTGGTGCCGAGCCACATACTTCTGGCATGGCCCAAAATCCATTGCATAATCGGTGGGGGAGCTGATCATATTTCACGCCGACTGGCCACACGCTGTTGTCGTCCGTTTTATTGGTGCTCATCTGTGGGCGGAGGGCGCCTGGCCTGGCTCTGAGCCCTCCTCAATTACGCTCGGAGGCTGCCGCGGAGCACTCTGTTTTGGCCCAGTTGGCTGCTGAACCGTGAGATATGCATTGGCTGGCTGATTCCCCGGCTTAGTCCATTGCGATAGGCCGGGCACTCAGCGGCAATTAAAGCCAATCAGCTAATGGCGATCGCGCTCCCTTTTAGTTTTCCATGCGCCAAATTACCTTTTGCCCATAGAACATATCTGCCTAATTGAGTGCTTCGAAAGGCTCTTATCAGTGGCTTCAACATCGAATCAACAAATTGTGTTTTGCTGGCAGCATTTTCTCCTATGTTTATTATCTCATCTCATCTAATATCTCTAACAATATACATATGTATAAGAGCTACATTATAAAAAGACGAAACTAAATATACATTGTGCTACGCATATATCCGTATTAGATATCCTGTCTGGCGCTGCTCGTCTGTGTCCAGGCAGCGGTGCCAGGACCGGAAGCTCGTTCCGGTGGAAGCCCCAAGGACGAGCAGCTGGCTACAGCGAGCGTGGGAATCCTGGACTCCGTGCTCCGAGGCAAGAGCCGCCAGTCGCGATGCGTGAGGTGCTACGAGGATCGGGATCGAGATCGGTACTACAGCGGATACTCCAGTCGAACGGGCGACGATGTGCGAGGTAGTGCCTGGTACTACTCCGGCTACGATGATCGCAGCAGGGATCGGGACTACGATCGCTACTACGACCGCTCCCGTTATTACGATGATCGCTATACTCCGAGGTCCTACGATCGCTACGAGGGTCGTGGCTACGATGACTATAGAAGGGGTTCTGGTTATGGAGGATCCTACGATCGGGAACGCGGATATGGATACGACAACCGGGATCGCTACTACAGTGGGGATCGCTACAGCGAGGGCTCTTCCAGAGGTATGTACATGTTTTTCAATTCCAAGAGTTACCGATCGAAAAATCCTCCTTAATAACCCTTTTAGATCGCTACTACGATCGCTCGAGGACGGGCGGCTATGATCGCTACGATCCGTACGATCGCTACTATTCCAGGTATGATTTTCGCAACTATCGCCCTTGGGATGAAACCTACAGGTATCGTCGCACTCTTTTTTGTTTATACATCCATGTTGTCAGCTATCTGTGTATCTCTACGCCTCCTATCTCTGAGTTCCTTTTGTTTTTACTCTCTACTTTCATACAACAACTCAACAACACGCAAACAACAACTACCACACCAACAACATGTACAACTACAACATGAACAATACACCACACAACTCCAACAACTGCAACAACAACACTGTGGACACTGCGGATGTTCCACGGCTGGCAACTCCAATCGTAAAAACAAATCCGAAATGCACTCCAACAACTGCAAATGCACTCACTAACTTCCGCCCGAAAATCCCGTATCCGCCCCGTTGGCTGCCAACCGACTACCGCTTCCGTTTCCGCTTGCCCAACAACTTTGATCGGCACCAGGGGACAGTCCGGTTTCGATAACTCCGGCCGGGGCTATTACTTTGCCACCGACGAGGATGAAAGCGATAGGAATCGGGGATATGGCTACACCTACTCCCGACCCTCCTCCTCAATGAGTTCGCCCTGCGGACGCATCTCCGGAAATTGTCCCCATGCCGGTGGCTTCAAGGTCACCTCACCTGCCATTGGAAGCGACAGTTCGCGAGTGGGCGGCCACACCAATGTCCTGGGCTCGGATGGAGGTGCTGGCAGTTGGACTTATTTGGGGGATCAGGACAAGGTCGGAGGGAGCAGCAGCGGTAGCAGCGGAGGAAGCAGCAGCAGCAGCGGCAGCGGCAGTAGCAGCAGTAGCGGATCAAGCGGCAGCGGCAGCGGCGGCAGTCGGGAGCGGGAACGGGAACGGGACAGGGAGCGGGATGCACAGAGGTAAGTTGCAGTGGGTGCTGCCCCTGCAACAGCATCGTCCATGCACTCAGACAAATAAAGTGGCCTTGCGAATAGGAAATTCAGTTACACTGAGCACGCAATTATTCTGAGAAATAGTATTGCCATTATACGGTTTTGTTTTATTTTTCTAAATTCAACTTTTCCGCCACTTTTCTCAGAATAATTACCTTGAGGTAGAAGAATTCTTGTACCCATGAGGTTATTTATTTGCTACTGAGTGCACCCACAGTTGTTCCCCGCACGGAATCGGATTCGGAATCGGTCACGGCATTAAGATAGGCTTGCCCTCTTGTCGCCCCTTGTAGCTCTTCCTATGGTGGCCGACCACGTCCTCTAGGCGTTAGCTATCTGCTCGAACGGGACGCGGATACTCCGTCGGATGGCCCAGGAAACACGGCGAATGCCGCCGGAAATGGTGGAAGTAATGGTGGTGGTGCTGCGGGTCAGAGCATGCCCATCCCAGCTGCCCAGACAGCTGCCGAGGGAAGTTCCGGCGCAGCTGAGCAGTAACTGGACAAGGACGCAGAAGCACATCCAAATCCGAATCCAGGGACGGATGCGGTGCAGGGACTGGGAGAGACACCCGCCCGGTGGGCGTGGCTGGGCTTTGTGTAACCTACCGTCCGTATTTATGTGTAATTGTAAGCTAAGTCTCCAAAGAAACTATTTATGTGTGGCACAGCTTTGCTCAAATAAACCATTTTCAAAGATCCTCAATAAGTAATTTTCTTTGAAGGAAATTGAAACAAAGCGACGATTTTCATTGGAAACAGAGTTCACTTTATTGTTCAAGTTTTTAGTGCTTAATTAGGAGGTAATACATTCACTTCTCATTTTATTGAGTAACTTCTTTTGAGGAGACCCAGAGCTTGACTTAAAAAATAAAAAACAGAGAAAAAACAAACAAGCAAAAGAATAACAATATTTATAGATAAATAAACAAACCGGAGGAAAACAATAATATTGATAAACATAAAAAAAATCAGAAAAAATAAAATTGATGACTCAAAATAAATAAATATAAAATCCATTGAAATCAAACAATGTAAATAAATTTAAAAGAATCTAAAGATTCGTTTGTACAATAAATATAAAAAAAAAAAAATAATAATAATAACAAAGCTAAAAAAAAAAAAAATGGTAATTAAAAAAAAGTATATATAATAGTGGAAAAAAATTATATGGAAACAAAATCAGAACGAAAAATATTTATTACCAAATAATTATTTCATAAAATAAACTTATCTCCTAAATAAAATTAAAAAAAGGATATAAGATATAATAAAATTTGACTACACAGAATAAAACCTAACATTTTTAAATAATTCAACGTACTACAAAAAATGTAATTATCATAAAAAATAAACATTTTAAAATTTACAGCGAACTAATACAAAATAATGAATATAATTACTCAGCCTATAAAACGATATATACAAATATAAGATAAACATACAATAATAACAAGTAAAATCATAAATTAAGTTAACATAACAAAATAATACTCGGTAATGAAATTATAAACAAAGAATAAAAAATTTTTTAAATAAAATTAAAATAAAATAAACTAAAATCATAAATTAAGTTAACATAACAAAATAATACTCGGTTTTGAAATTAGAAACAGAGAATAAAATAATTTTTAAACATAATAAAATAAAGTAAAATCATAAATTAAGTTAACATAACAAAATAATACTCGGTAATGAAATTATAAACCAAGAATAATATTAATACTATGAACAAAAAACAATTATTAAACAAAAACAATAAATAATTAAAAAAATAAACATATAATTCTATATTATACAACATATACAAAATGTACAGCGAGAAAAAAATAATCAAATGAATATATAAAAAATATATAAATTTATTGAAATATATATAAATAAACTATAACTTATATATTGGGTGAAAAAAGAGAACTCAAAAGAAAATAACAAACAACAATACAAAAAAAAAAAAAACAAAAAAATTTAAAAAACAATACGATGAAATTATTTTCAAAAAATAAATTAAAATAAATGAGAACATAAATTATAAGAATAACATATATAAATAATAAAAGAAAACACTTACCAAATCCAAAATTATGAATCTTAAAAAATCAAAAGCCGGTATATTTTAATGAAATAAATAAAACTGAAATAAAAAGTTTTTAAACAAATGTAACAATGAAAATGTAAAACTCAAGGGCCCTCGCGTATACAAAATTTATAAAAATATTCACTGCAACAAAAACACGCCTTGCTATTGGCAATATACATTGAGTAAGCTTTCCTAAATGTTTTCCTTTTACTTAAAAATTTAATGAAATGGAAACCTTAGTCAGGGATATTGTTAGACCAACAAATTTATAGCTTTAAAATTTGTTTAACAAAAAACATTAACACAACAAAAAATAAGCAAACTAGGAAACTAAAAAGGCACGAATAAATTTAAATCTAAGCTTCGTTTTTAAGCCTGGAAAATATATTGGTATTCAATGTTGGAAGATGCTATTTTGTTGATAGTTGCGTTGATCATCGTGAAAACGTTCAATTGTTGATCGCTTATTTTTAAGAAATATTCCAAGTTTGCTTGGAAGCGCTACCATCGTGGCAATTTGTTTACGCATTTGGATTTCTTATTGGGATCAAGATAATTTCCGGATCTGATGTGGTATTATATGTAGTAATTCAGCCTGGGTAACGAAAATTGCTGAAGTCGACGGTGTATCAATCAAATGATTGTCAGTTTCGAATTTTTGTTGTTTGATTGAATGTTTTAATTTTTGAATAGTTCCATGAGCGCGTGACTTTTTTTGTTGTCATTCCTAAGTAATTTTGTCATTTGTCCAGTGTCAAAAAAATTCTGTAGTTATTTATATATTTATGTAGTTATCATATTTTTGAGCTGGTTTTCTTGATTAATAGCTTTGCATTAGCAGGATAAACTTGAATACCAGTTGTATTTTAGTTCCAGCTGCTTTTATCGTAATATACTTTCGAGAATATTAAAATACATTATTTATACGTCAATTGTATTTTTCTAGCTGTGCTTCTTGATTGATATCTTTCTATTAGCAGGATAAACTTGAATACCAGTTGTATTTTAGTTCAAGCTGCTTTTATCGTAATGTACTTTCGATTTGTGGATGTATAATATTTCAATACATTTTTATCTTTAAATATTTCTGTCGATTGCTTTGTACAATAGCTCAGTGCTTCTACAGTTGTACTTAAGTAGTATTTCTGCGAAAGGGAAACAAGCTGCTGTACTTTCTCGATCGATTATTTCCCAAATTGAGCACTTACAGATTTCCATGGGATTGCCTCGCAATGTGTTAATTATCTTTAATTGAACTTTATCTAACGGCTAAGGCCGCCACAACAACAGTGGCGGCTCAGCGATCTTGGGATCGAGGTCGTAACTCTACGGCACTTTTCACTGGACTGTGCCGCAATGCCGATCGGATCGGTCTTTTATACTGTGCCAAATGGAAAAGCCACCACCATAGCACCACCATGGAATACTTTCGCATGACGCAGGCGTGCCGGCAGAGGGGGAATCCAGCAGTCTGGGATGGGGGTTACGATTCTGGATACTGGGAAGCAAGAACCGGGTGCGTGCCGCTGGGCCATAACAATAATAAAACGAGGGTTAGGCCCAAGGAATGAATCGAATTGAAAATGCTTATTTCATTTTTATGCTGGTATGTCGGCACTGTCACCGCGATCGCCTCACTTCTTGGCTCTGGGATTCCGATTCTCGGTGGAGGGTTACCGGGTTAAGTCACCCCCGGCTCGAACCACTCCGCTTGTGGGAACCGAACTGATCTAGTGCTACCAGTTGAGTGCATTGTAATTAGTCAAGATTTCGCTGGGCTCACTCACGCTTTCTCACGCTCCTGGGGGTATCTTTCGGTCTATTGGTCCTTTGGCGAAAATCCACCCGAGAAAGGTGTTACACCCAACTGTTTTCTCAAGGAACAGATAACAAAGCACTTGGATTCGGATTTGGATGTGGATGGGGGGTATTCGTATTGGGGTAGTTTTTGGGCTGCTCCTGTGCCAGTTTGGTGGCTACTGGTAGTTCAGTTATGCTGGTTGCGTTTAATTTCACTTGGGACTCTTGTGGGATCATCAATTGGTGGCATGACATGATTTGACTACTGACAGCATGCGGGCTGGGAATGAGCCAAAGGTGCAGCTGCTCCTTTGAAAATCCAGAAGGAGATGTTGCAGTACTTAATTGGATTCAATAATTGGTTAGTACAGTATTACATCTTTTTGTGATCAAAAAATTAAGCTGGATTTAAAGTCCCACATTCCCTACCAATATATTAATTTTAAATTTAATTTTTAAATATAATTCCTGAAATTCAAGAAAGAGAAAATAGGCGGCTTTCAATCGTAAATGTTGTGCTATTTGTCACCATACCAACTGAAATAATAGTTGTTTAATCGCATCTCTTTTATCCACAAAAGTGTTCGTTAAAAGAGAATCCACCGGCTATTGCTCGGTGAAACACTCCAACTCTCCAAAACTGTAAAACACACAATGCATGCACATGCTGTATGTACATAGGTGCGTATCAATTCCGATGATAGCACATCTTATCAATGGAACCGAGCTGATAAAAGCGAGAACTCAACGGCAGGCAGGCGCATTGGGGCTCAGTTCAGTTCCACTTCGTTTGGACTGTAGTTCGGTGTTTTTTGTTTCGCGATTTTCCGGTTAATCGGGAAAATGCGTATACCTGCCTTCTGGCATCGTCCCAGAGTGGCGCATTTCGCCATTCTGATCTTTCTCGTATATGTTTTCCTTCTCTTCAGCTATAAATTCCTACAAGTGAGTGTGACAAATTAGCTGCATTCTATTAGCTACAAATTGACCTTGTCAAAACACATCCGGTCCTCCTTAAAGTACTTAATGGTTTGAATAATTAATATTTCGCCTTTCGTAGAACGACTTTGAAGAAATACCTAAACAAATTCGTTGTTTTCATTCGAATAAGTTGTGAAAATAAGTGAACAGTGCGGCAAGTGCTATGGTGTATGGCTATGAATAATATGGCTGTTCATAAATATAAAAAATGTTGCACCAAAGGATTCGCGTTCAAGGGACTTTATCAAATTGTTCTTCGAGCTGCATATGCTGAAGCAACCAATGTAAAAAGTATTATGAGATTCCACTAGTTCACTAGTTGGACCCACTGTGCCGGAATTATTTTTAAAGCAGCATCAAATGGTCAACGCCTCCGTTCAGTTTCGATTCCCTGCCCATGACGAATGTATAAAAAGCGGCAATTATACATAAACATGTGTCCGAATAAAAGGAAGGCGCTTTGTGTGTGCCATGCTTCTATGTATAATTGATATATTTTCATTCTCAATAATAAAAGTGGAGGATGTTGGCCGTATTAACTTAAAAATAGCATGGAATAGCGACGCTGACTCACTCGGAGCGGCAGACATGGACATGGACACTCCAATCGTGAGACAAGCGTACAATTTATTAAGTCCCCCACCACCCCCACCATCACCACCCACTTTTGGGGGCCTGGAGTACTTTTACAAGGCTCTCGAAGCTCTGCCGCCGCGCTGCTGCTGCGCAGCCGCTGCGCTGCCGGCGGGTGCCGCCATTTGATGACAGCGTTTGTGGACTGAGGCGCCAGTTTGATGCGAGGCGTGCGTTGATTAACTTGTTGCATTCGCGTCCTGGAGAAAAGCGGAAAAGCGTAATCGGGGAAAGCGCTTTCCCCGCCCACATCGTCAGTGCACTGCGGAAAAAAAGCCATGGGAACTGATTTACTCGACAGAAAATGGCTTAGAACTGTGATATAGCTATCTAAACGAATATATAGACCTGCTGTTTCATATTAGTTCATACCGTATGAAAAAGATTACAAATTTCAAATTCTATGCTTTTAGTATCAGCATTGGATATCTATAGAATTGATAAATAAAATCAGCTTTGTAACTTTTATAATTTTTTATTTTCCAAAGATAAGTAGTAAAATGAAGATGTCTCGAGCATCTTTCTTCTATTTAAATAAAGCCTTTGATAATTTGGCACTCAGTTGTGATCTGTTGTTCTGTTAGAAAATTTCAAGGTGGACCTGTGGGACTAAGACCATATAATTTATAGCTCTATCGGGCAGAGTGCTCTTCTTTCTGCCAGTGTGAATGAGCCATAATTATTTGCGTATTGCGGGGCGCCAAGTGAACTTGTGGCTGGGTCGGTCAGTGGTGCCAAGGTGGTGTAGTGGTGTGGTGGTGGCCAAAGAACGCCGAGGACGGGTGGCAGTCGATGGTGATGACACTGGAGGGACGGCCCCACAGCCAGGCAGCAACAACCACAAGCTCGTGCTATCGCTAATCGATGGCTGGCCATCAAGAAAGCTAAGCAAATAAGCAACAGGAGCCGCTTGGGGTTGACTGCAGACGGCAAGCCGGGCCCCAAGTCCGAGAATCAGAAGAGCCGAGACCCAAGACGTCGGCAGCTCAGTCGACGGTAGCGCCACGCCACGCCACGCGCCGCGCCGCGCAGCTAGAAAATAAATAAACAGTTTTAGTTGCCGTCGGCGATTCCTGAGGAGCGGAGTCCCTGCCGCAGTGTTGTTCCCGCTCGAGACATGCTGGCCGCCCCGGAGAACCGCTTCCAGCATGTGTACTTCGCGCTATCCGCCCTGGTGGCCAGCGCCATGCTCGTCCTGGTCTACATCTCCATGCGCTCGAGCCTTGTGAGTGCAGCGGATGCCTCTTGTCCTGCAGCGATCCTGTGACTCATGACTCTTCTTTCCTGGTTCTTTTCTTGCAGAACGAGCGGCTCCGCGAGGATCTGGCCAAGGCGCAGCGACAGCTGATCTTCGGGAGGCCCAATCCGCACTGGGACTACACCAACAGTTGGCGCCGGATTGGGAACACCACGCTGAGGCATGAGATTTACTCGGCGTACTTCGATGCCAGGACGGATATCGTAGGTGAGATTGCGTCGACGGTTGGTACATTTTACTGAGCGTATTCTTCATGGAACATACAGTGGAGCACCTAGAATTTATATAAATGTGTACGCTTTCAGAGGGTTCTATAATTTAGGTCATACATTTTTTATTTCGTTATTTATACATACTCATGAGCGTCTGACTGCCTTTTTATTTTTGATTATACACTTTACATATTTGAATCTTAGTTTTGTTTGTATTGATTTTATGAAAAGCACACTGCCATAAAAGCAATCCAACCACCATCATAACCATCATTGTTATATAAATTGAAATTTGAATTGCTTTCTATTTCCACAGGTAATGTCCGCATGGACGAGGAGCAGATGACCATTGGATCGCTGCGCATCTTCGCCATTCTGCCGGAGCGTCTGCGCGACTCCTCGATAAACTGCATCGTGCGCTTCTCGGACTTCTCTAGCCAGGAGATCAAGGCCGAGGAGGCGGGGCCCATGCACGATGTGCACAACAACACCTTTGCGGCCTGGAGCATCATGTGTCCGCTGCACGCCTCCCGCCGCTCCGCCATGCGCCTTCCCCAGGCGGTGGCCTTGGCTTACGCGTCCAATCGACTCAGCCATCTAAGTCCCACCTTTATTCAGATCAGGTGCGTCCACTGCCTAAGAGGATCTTTATGTAATACCTAATTATAAGCTAGCTCCAAGTTTAAAGGGTTCAAAATTTAACCCGTTTCCCATTTATTGGCACAGCTATCCCCGCAACATGACCAACATGTTTGGGCGATCTCGTCCCACAATCTCCGTGTGCGTGGGTCCCCTGCACGAGAACTACTCGAACGTGCTCCGGCTGGTGGAGTTCGTGGAGATGTACCGCCTGCAGGGTGCCACCCACTTCTACTTCTACTACGTGGAGGCCAGCGAGGAGGTGCGTCGCGTTCTGGTCCACTACCAGCGGATGGGTCTGGCCGATGTGTTCGAGTGGAATGTGCAGGCCCATATGCAGGATGTCCACTACGCCGGCATCGTGGCGCAGTTCAACGACTGTGTCTACCGGGCCAATGTGGTGGACAACTTCCGGTACGCGGCAGTGGTGGACCTGGACGAGGTGGTGATGCCACTGAAGCACAACACCCTGGCGGACTACCTGCGCCAGTGCGACGAGGGCCGCACCGCGGGCTTCGTCTTCCGCAACGTATTCTTCCACCGGCGAGACAGTAACGACACCTTCAACGCCCCCAGCCACGTCCTCAACCGGCTGCTCTACACCCAGTCGAAGGTGCGGCGAACGCTGGAGGTGCTGCCCGCCTACATACGGAGCAAGGTGGTGGTGAACACCAGGGCCATTGTGGAGATGGGCAACCACCAGGTGTACCGCTCCGCGCCCGGATACGCCGATCATGTGGTGCATCCCACGGTGGGACTACTGTTCCACTACCGCGACAAGTGCATCAACTGCAAGATGGTGCTGATCGTCGACTATACGGCCCGGAGATT